GCAAATATATTTCAACTTTAAAGTTAATACCATGTTATTCTAAAGTTATTACATCAAGGAAAAAACTTTGAAAGTTTTTTCCTTGATGTAATTTGACTATAATAGAATAGAGTCAATGCAAAAAAATTTGAGTCTAAATAAATGCATGTAAATGATATGTCATTTACATGCATGTCACAGAAGAGTCAACTGCCCTACGGGCCTCGTGATGCGCAGAGTGGCTTTGTTTTGGACTTAACCACTATACCCCGAATCAGGTTTTGAAATCACGGCGGAATGCCTCGATTACCGTTGGAAATGTCGCTTATGCGGGCAACGAAGGCCCGTAAACCCTGAATAGGTTTCAAATTTTGTATTTTTTGCAAGAGCCTCTATATCGATCATTCGCTTTTCTGTTGTAGTTTCCTTGTTTACAAAGAGTCTAGTTTTTAATTGTAACTTGATATAAAATCGCTATTTTTAAGAGTATCGATACACTAAAATCCTTATGGTTTTTTTTTCAAGATAATAATTCTTGAGGAAAATATGTTTTATAAACTGGTCTAACATGAGTGGAAGCTCTAGAATATGATTATTATCTGGTGAAATTTATTCTTATTATCTGTTTAAAATTTCATTATTTACCATATTTGCACTTGCATGTCGTTTAAAAAGATTATTATGACTTAAAGTTAAATCAAATCATTTTATATTAATGATTTACCTCTTAAGAAATTATAGATTCAAAAGATAGAAATAATAGATGTTTCACGTGAAGAAAACGTAACATGAAGATAATCTTGGAGTTTACAAATAGAAAATTTATTTATTATTGATAACTTACTCGTTTCGATTCAAAGAAAAGTTATTCATAGACAAAGTTTTTAGTAAAAATCCAATTTTTTCAATGAGTGACAAAATAAGTTTTCTTTCTAAGCTAATTTAGTAGATTTACAGCGCAATGATCAACATCAAAATAGAACAAAGATATTATCGTTAGAAAAATCTTGAAAGTATATTTGATCTTACTTTTAAATAATAATATGCTCTGCTGTTGTGGTCTAAATGAAACTTAATTTTTGCTTTTGAAAATTTTTTTCACGCTCCTTCTGATTTCAAGATTATATAATCAAGGAGATATTAGAATAATATGTTGAAATATACATTTAGCCTTATAATCTAATTCCCTTTAGTGATTTGATTCATAACAAGAAGTGAAGTTAGATAAAAACTTGAGCTTGCATATTTGCCAGATTAATCCAAATATATGTAAAGTATGCTTCAAAAAAATTTTACATGAAAAATTGACAATTAACATGAAATATTGTTTTTTATTATTATATTATCACATATTATGAATTCAAGTGACTAACACCCCGGCCTCAATTATAGCGTTGAGCTTTAGCCTTGATTTGTAAATATTTCTAAACGAACACACCCAAACTAACTTGTTTTACTTCTGTTAAATTAGTTGAGTATCTGGCTTGTATGTTCTATTTCCAATAGATGCATTTTGTGACGGATTCGTTGAATGAATTGAAACCTTCTAGTCATAAGGACTTTTACACTTTTGTACAAAATATGATGACCTTTGCAGTTTCTGTTTCCAATATTGCACTGATAATCAGGACAAGAGAAATAAAGAAGTTCAGATTTGGGGAAAAAAATTGGGTTACATGATTTGGGGAAAAAAATCTGACTGGAAGTATCTTATTCATTACATTATTCTGTAAGGACGATTAGATGTTTTGACACATATACTAAACTATCTTTGCAATCAATACTACATAGTTGAAACTTTAAAATGGCATGTAAACTTGAGGCGATTAGCAAGTTTGTCGGCCATATTTTTTGTTCTTTTGAAAATATTTATCATTTGAACCAGCAATCATGCTCGATTCTCATCATTAAAATGTAAAGTTCATTGAAACAGATTTCATGTAAATTTGATTTCAAGTTGAATACTTGATACACATCATACGAGATTGATATTTAAAATCGACTGAAGAAGATTGCTACCTTCTGTAACTCTGGATTGAAGACAAACTTAGAAGTGCAGTAGTAGAATAGTTTTAATATTATTATATTACATAGTGTAAGATATGCATGCCATTTTGAGCACGAATATTTTACATCATTTGAAGATACATTCACAGTCTTTATATTGAAAAATAATAATTTTGAGTACAATATAAACTTCACCAATGTGGAAGCTTTTCTCGAGACAATTTTCATGTTTTTGGGTTTCACACTCCAACAACGAGCAATATCTAACCATCAGTGGCAGATGACTTTGAAAAAAATGCACAGTCATTACAATCCACACTTCATCGTGCATTTCCAAGAGATCCTTCACACTGAAACTTGAGGGAACCATTCAAAAAGAGGCACTGATTGTGGCGTGCCATCAATAATGCTTTGCTTCATATGACTGTTCTCTTGCTAGTTGTACACAGAAAGACGAGGGGAGAAATGTTCATGTCGTTGAGGGGAGAATTGACGGACGACTGAAGTGACAGACCATCCTTGTTCTGTGGCAGAAGATTTGTAGATCCAGTTCCATGGCTTCGGGGATCGAATGAACCTGCATCGCGCTATTTTCTGCAGGCAGAGCTGGTCCCGATCGCCGATTCCTGCACTGCCGCTGAGTCTTTCGTTGAGGCAATCTGTGTCATGCAGCAGGAAGACTTCGTCATGCGGTTGCCACGTTCGCCGCAAAGCATGGCAGCCACAATGTTGACGATGTGCTCCTGAAGACGAAATCGGAGCTGCTGCTGCTGCTGCTTCTCTCCCGACTGTGCTGGCCTGACTTTGGGCTTGCTGTTCGTTTCACCGACGTTTACTGGAGTCCTCTGGCTGTCATGTCGCCGCACGTGACGTGGGAGTATGACCACGTTCTGATCCCGTGACGAGGTCCGTTTCGCCTGAATTACCGTCTGTGGACCTTCAGTGTTTATCATCACCCCGGAATTTCAGACCAAAATGATCTTGCTCTCGAGAGATTTATTTACTTTACTTGGTTATATACTTCCTCTACTTACAGGTCGTATGTCATTTGTGGCAATTCTCATTCCTGTAGGGTGTCTTGGTCTGTCGGTCCATCCTTGATCCATCACAGTGATCTTGTTAATAGCAGCCTTTAGGATCAAACAGAGAAGGCGAACTCGAGATTTGGGTGCGATTTGTGTCCTAGCCCCGGATTTGTTGTTGCTCAATGGTCACAAGTGTCCTGAAGACATGGTGCCAATATAGTTTGGTATCAGGGAGGGGGCCGTGGCCCCTGCTATTGTACTGCTGTTCCACAGAGAAGAGCAGTTGAAAGCAGAGTGCAAAATCGCTGCATCATTGATGACTGATAATGGTTTTGAAAGACAGTCATTTCAAGTCAAAGAAAAATTCTCACCGGAAAAGCCCCTACGCGCAGCACATTCTTCTTTGGCGTCCGATTTTGTATGATTACATGTGTAAATCGTCAAATTACATTATGTAAATCATCAATGTAATGCATCGCCACCCCCGTCCCGAAGGGCTTGCCTTGCCACTGTTCGGGATGAATAGACACATATGCTCGTGCAGTATTCCGCCACCGACCTCCGACCGAGAGATTGATCTGCTTGCGACTTATCTGGTCTGGAAGTGCGAATCTCGCCGGTCGACGTGTCCAGGAACGTCGGGATGTATCCCGCCATCATATTCGAGCTCGGAATTAGCCAATCACATCATTTTTCGTAGATAAGAATGTCGCGACCATGTGTCTCCAGAGACAGCAATAATAAGGATTCTTCCCGTCACGTCTCGTAGAGTCCAGAGTCGCACCAGGACGCGGCCGCGACCGTCCATCTTTCGATCCATGGTCTTATCCAACATAGATTCACACACTTATGATTGCGGACCAGATCGTGGGTTAAGATGGATGTGCATAAACAGGGCTGCGATCAACTTGCATTCCTGTCGATCCCTCTGATCCGATTTGATCGCACCCTCGATCTATATTAGTTTTATTGCTCACGATGGTGCTCGTTACAGTCCAAAGATCAGCTAGTTGACTCACAGCTGACGATCGGGTGTAGCTACAACTAATATTGCTGGAAAAGGTGAAGAGGTCAGGCTATCAGTGGCCGAGCTAGTCTTCATTAAGCTGGCGACTCTTAGGCGAAGCAGTAAGGAGCTAACTGGCTGTCTATTGATATAAGATTGATTCCGAGCTTTGAATCGACAAGAAAGACCTGAACGCACCGAGAGAACAGGATCTGGACAAGGTGCATCATTGAGCCCTATCCAGAAAACGTTTCCCCATCAGCCCCAAACATCACTCCGACTTTCATGAGGCTGGTTCATCTGCTGCTGGTCTGATGTACATGAATTGATCAATAATGCACGACTGATCCTCACAGGATAACGAAATAATGACCACAGATGGGACCTAGACGCAACTAACAACTTACCTCAACAGATTGCATCTGGTGGAAAGTGTATGTCTTCCAATGGCATGCAACTGAGCTGTTCCACTCAATGTACACGATGAAGACTCTACGTGTGGTAGATGAGCAGGTTCTTCCACTACCAAATGTCCGCTCTAAAAGCTGGTCAGCGGCAGGGATAATTTGATGACTGAGCTTTATATGGTGACACTCAGAACAGAGAAAGGTCAACTTGTGAAACAACAAAGTGAATCTCTGATCTCCTTTGAGAACAAAATGTAAACGGTGGATACTGTCAAATTCTTCTGTCGGTGCCTCTAATACGTACGCAATATTTCATCGTTTGATAACAACAGTTACCGAATTTTTCAGCTTTTAGAGAACATGCAAAATTAATTACCCGAATAAAGCTTTGTAATTAATTACGGTAATTAATTTTGCATGTTCTCTAAGCAGGCTATATTTTTCGTTTTTTTGGAATCTCGCATTTTACGTGTCGTCATTGGAACATGAACAGCATGACTTGCAACCGGGTCGTGCACGTATAGCAGTTCTGGGATCAAATTAGTGCAAGCACACAATATGTGAGAAAGGAATGGATATTAGAAGAGTGGAGGGAATCAGTCGGAGCTCTTGTCAGATACGGAGTCATGAGCGCGCACGTAACATGCCATTGCAGTTTGCCCTAGATTTTAGATCCGGATTCCCTTCATTCGGATTCGGAAATAGGAGTCTGCTGTTAAGGTCCAGGGTTATGTTCTAGAGAACATTTTAAGGACAGTCTAATTTAACTTTGAATTTCAATAGGAGACCCTGGATGAGGTTTAAGAAATATGATCATGTGTTGAACCATTGCTGACGGCCTCACGGACTGGAGAATTTGCTTGACGTCCTGCGTTCACACATGATCTTCTAGAGGTACTCAGTCAGCATGCAGAGCTTGTATGAATTGTTCTGCCTTGGCCCTTCCAGTTTGGATCCATAACGGCAGTAGATCGTCGAACACATGGAACGAGATTGTTCATGTCATTCAACAGGTCACGCTGACAAACAAGTCTGTAACACGAATCCACGGCTCCATTATCAATAGGTGGATGACTGAACCTGACAAGCGTTGATTCATCGTGGGAATCCTAAACATTTGGCACATGTCCACCAGCTTCCCTTACTCCTACGTGGTCCTGCTCGCTATCCAGGTTACATGTTGTGCAAGCTACACTTGTTTTGAGTTTCCCCAGCGAAGGCTTCGTTGGATCATTATGGAAACTGATCGACAGTTCGATCGCCTTCACAGAAGGATCTTGAGAAACGAATTCTTGCTGTCTGTGCTTTCCAGTGTCATGGTGCCTTCGTGAGAGACAGAGCGATGTTTGGGCAGAGGAGAACACGCATGACCTTCTCAGTCCCTATGTCCCCGCAGAGTGTATCGAGGTCATCTCAGGTCGAACGCGATTGCTTGGATCTTGCAGCTGAGACTCCTGAAGGTGTTCTGGACGCTCGTCTCGAGCATAAGGCATCTCGTCCAAATGAATCAAGCATCGAAGACTCGAGTTGCTTCTGAAGTGCGTTCGACGTCAGACTGGAGGTTTGGAGGACCTCGGGACTATGGAGCAAACAACAGTTATCGTGGAACTTCGTGGTTTTCTTAGGAAGCCGGTCCAGGTATGGCTTTGGAGCTCTCGGTTACTGGTTCATGTAGTCATGTTTCACATTTGGTTTTGTCAAATTGCTTCTTCTTAGTTTCTTACCCTTGAACTGGTATCGGGGAACGTGGAGTTCGTACTTCGTCTAATTGGAAGGAAGGCCGACTGCGAAAGGATCGTAAGGAGTTACAGCTTCATGTCGGCATTGTGGATAAAATACAAGCCTGGCCAAAATGTACACGAAGGAAATGTGGAGATCCTCCGGTCTGTGAGTAGTGTCCAGAGCAAGAATCTTCCTCCAGATTTTGTTTCGCAGCTAGCGCAGAAGGATACCAGAACACCATCTAATCTCACGTTGACTGCACAGCCATGTGTATATTTGATTCGTTGGGAGAACAGGGGTTTGAAGTTTAGTTTGGCCTGAATTCGGGTGGGGTGGATGCTGCAACATCGATCACGAAGCGATACTTTACATCTGATTTTACCAACCGTACCATAGCTTCATTCACGTAGCCTATGGGTATCAACTCGATCTTGCAAAAAATATGATGCTTCCCGCAGAAATCAAGCATTTCTTGAGTTTCTCTGATTCCTCCAATCAGACTGCCACCCACACATCTCCGAGCTGTAGGAATAGGCAAAACACAGCTCAGTCACTGCAGAACTTTACCTAGTGGGAAACAAAAGGTATGAACAAAAGCTACCCTGACCTGTTGAACATACATCAAAAAACTACACCTCTTTCCTCTGCACTGCTTCTTACACTATTGTTGACCCCACCAGAAACACAGCTTTTGAGTTTGTAGTAGGTCAATGTATGCGGTGCTTACCAGCGTGAAGATTGAAAGCTGAGACCTCCAGAGGCTTTGAAGGAATACCCACGAGGATGATCTTTCCGTTCGTTCTGAGAAGAGGGAGATATTGATCCATGGAATGTTCGGCAGAGACTGTATCTATGATGAAATCCAACGATTTTTCTGCTGCCTGCAAACAGGTAATTTGTGTTATTTAGATGAAACAAAAGATCTAGAAAGCAACAAGACGAAACAAATCGCCTGCAAAGTTCCATTACATGATGCGCATTAAATCCCACAGGAGAAGCATGTCTCTGACATTCATCGTGAATTGCGATGTTATCAGACAAACTACAGTCTACTTTCCCGCATGGTGGCTGATGCCAAATTACGATCTTGTGGTACTAAAGTGTGATCACGAGGGAATGAACTCGTGCTTAGATATGAGGAGATTGAACCTAAAAGCAACGCAATGCGTTGGGTGGAAAATTGCATACACGCTGTTCCATCGTGTAGCTCCAGCTATACTCGGTTCATTTTAATTGCCTAGGGTTTCGTTCAGCTAAATTCAGCTCTAAATCCAGGTTAGGGACTGCGACTCTGAGCTCAACAAAATGATTAGCAGACAGGACTGACAACCTACTCATTGCCTCACTCATAAGTTAAGTAAGACAACCCCAGAATTCTCAGTACAACAAAACGCAGGAAGTTTTCTGATTTTGTGCATTTCGTTTGCCCCACGGCAAGTAAGGCAACAACATGTCTGAAGAAATGCAACCCTTCCAATTCATCGGGTTGCTACAATACTCTTAACTGAAATTAGCAACAACTGATCTTAATAACTTTCACACAAGTACCTTCGTTTGTATTTCAAACTTAAAGACTCTAATGCTGGAGATTTGAGAAGTGGTTTGAGCAGATCATTGGTACCTTCATTTGTTTCGGATCAGTGCTCACGACAAAGTGATCGGCGTGTAGAGCGTGACGGGCCTCTTGCTCTTTGCTGGGCGAGGTACTGATAACCGTGATCCTCATGCCAAACGCTTTCGCGAACTTAGCAGCCATGAAGCCCAGACCTCCCAACCCTATCACTCCAAAGTTTTTTCCTCCTTTCTCCATTTCATAGTGCTTCATTGGACTGTAAACCGTAACACCTGCGCATAATAAAGGTGCAGCAGCATCCAGGGGCAAAGCTTCTGGGATTTTCAAAGCGTACCTAAGAAGGCAAACGAAAACAGGATAAACGGAAAACGTAAGTTTTTCGAAGTTGAGGATCTGCCCAATCTGCAGACAGGAAAGCCCTTTCTTCCAAACTATCAATCTATCTTCAAAGCAGGGCTTCCTGCATGTGCACCGTGTACCGCAATCTAAGCGCTTGAAACGACTCGAATCACACGATATCCGCCAAACCTCACAGCCCTAACCACTTACCCTTCAATGTGTAATGTGCTGACCATCCTTAGGTCACTTCGTAGCAAAAGAGTCTTGAAAACAAGTTCCTCGTGAGGAGAACAACGGGATGGCTAGAAAACAGAGGATGACTTTCACAGCTCAGCAGTGTGCAGAGGAAGTTAAGGAAACTCAAACGGAGTATTACCTCTCAGGTACCACCATCAGGGTGGAATAGCCACCGTAGGTGATGTTTCCATCAACGTAAATGTCCTTGTCATTGTAGGTCCAGACGAACTTTCGTTCGCAGTATTGCTCGAGGTGCCTTTTACAATGATCGCACTGTCCGCAGCTGTTGACTATGCATCCCACACCAATCCTATCGCCCGGTTTGAAAGTCTTCACATCGCGCCCCACTTCACACACGATTCCTACAACCTCATGGCTGGAAACCGGAACAAGCACGATGACGCAGCGAACCATCATTCCCAGCAATTCAATAATCATCAACCACATGACTGCTGGATGGAAAAACATCAGCAAATAGTTTCTTATGGGATGCGACAAACAATTGTGTAAAGCATCTGCTCTATTGATGGACTACTGACCCTGGAACCATCGGGTACGTTGCTGGTAGCTCCTTCCAGTCATCTTTAATCTGGTGCAAGTCGGTATGGCAAATTCCACAATACTTCACCTCGAAGCAAATATCTTCTGAACGACATTTTCTGTGATCCACCATACGAAAATGCGTCAGCACCACATGTCAATTTGTGATCGCAATTTGTAGTATCGGGCAATGGAGGTTGGAGGTATGAGAAAATTTTCATAAATAAATAGTCGGAGGAATTCTACTTCATTCTTCCTCCGTTAACAATCAATATGACGATTCAAGCTGTTCGATCTAGTGTTGAAGTATCCTTTTGCATGAGGAGCTCTACGGGCTAAAGAATTACGCGAATTCAAGCATTTTCGTGAAGCTGCATTGTAGGTCAGATCCACGACGACGTGGGCCGGGTTGTCATACATCCATGGAGAAGGCTTACAAGAAGCGCGACCCTTAAAGAGGCGAGGAATCAATTGGGCAGCTAATTGCAGCGATTCGAATCGACTCAATTCGGACCCAATTTTTCCGACAATTAAAAAAAACGTGTGGAGAATTCACCTGCGCGTGAATCTAAAAGGCTTCATAGTCCCAGAATGATCGAAGGCAGCGTAGCCCCAACATTCTCTGGCCATCCTGTTCTGCCTACAATTTGAATCCCAAATTTGTTGCAAGCAATTCGGTGACGAGATTCTGCCAAACACGTCTAAATTTTTCTAACCCACGCGGAATACCGGCTGATCCAGCAACTCGTCCTACCCTGTCGTGGCCTCGCGTCTTTCCTTCCCAGCCCCCAATGAAGACTCAAGAAGGAAGGTATTTCTTACCGTGACCCTTCGACCTGTTTTGTACGAACCAAGCCCGTCGGTTCGGAGCTCCAGTCCTTAGCTCCAGTTCAGATCGTTCCAAAGGCAGGACTAATCGAAGCCCTTTACACTCCTCCGAGAGCTTGCAGCTGCAGACCTCTGCAATGACAAGGCCACGGGGGCCGATGTCATTGCTCGGAGCACGAAGGAGAGAGGAATTTCGTGCTCGTCCCTCCTCTTCTCTTATCTTCTCTCCTCTCCTCACGAGCATTGATGCCTTTCACACCGATGGCGCTCCTGCCCACGCACTTCCGACATTTCTGCTCCTTTTGGCTCCCAAAGACCAAACTTGTACAGCAACGAGGACGATTTGTTCATCGTATCCACATCATTCCCGAGATCAATTATGCAGCGTGCATGCTCGCTGCCCCGTTCTATTGGCCAAACCTTGTGAGTTCTCCCATACATTTCTCTTTTTCCTCAATCTTTCTCAATCTTTCTCAATCCCGACAATTTCTCTCACCCGCTTGTTTTGAAAAGCACCTTTTCGTGTCTTCACTTCAATTATAATGCACTGATAAGTGTGCTAAAATTTGACTTGACTTGCCAAGTCGTGTGAGAGGGGCAAGGACATGTGCAGGTCAAAGAGTTAGACCCGGTTGCAGCACAGAAAGAGTGGAAATGAAAACATTAATTTCTCCATGCAAATCTTCAATTCAGAAGCCCATTAAGCCCCAGGGAGACAAACCCCGATCGTACTTGCAAGAATTTCCCATCGCCAGCAATTATTCGCTGGGACCAGGTCGTCGTGGACTCTCAACTCGATTCGTCTCCGCATTCGGGCATAAACTGAAAGATGATGCGACAAAACTAGTGCAGTACATCATCAACACCATCCAAGTCCTCGAAATCAACTAACCTCGAAGACAGTACGCACCGAAGCCATCCATCGTCGCCTTACCAATAACTCGAGTCTGCGACTCACTTGTGCAGGAGCACCAGATTCCAGAGAATATGCTCTCGCGGTGCTGCACCATCGTGCACAGTCGAAGAAGGGCCGGCGTCGTCGCACGTGTTCCACACTCGCGGCATCATAATTGGACTCGATCCCGCAAAGATCGAGGACGGGTAGGACCCAAAGACAAAGAAATGCAGTGCAGCAGACACTAAGTCGGACCGCAAGGCCCGCGACATGGCCGGACAAAGCGGAGCACCAGAGGAAGGTGGTGGTAAAAGTGTAGTACCGCAGTACAAGTTCGTAGACGATCGATCACGAGCATGTTGTACTATTCTATTCTCCAATCGATTCTATTAGCGCCATGAATCAACTAATCACACTCCGATTAGGGCGCGGCCGGGGTTCGGAAGCTGGTACACCAGTACAAGATTACTGGCGAATTACTGGCATGCTGTACTACCGGCTCCGCACCTCGACCAGGCCAGGACAAGTCGGTAGTACAGTTACGGTCTCAGTCCGGTTCCATGCTCCGGACCCGTTCCTGCTTCCGGTTGACTATTATGGAAAGCGTGTTTGCGTGCCGAGCCCTCGAGATTATTGTTATTATTATTATCGGTGCGTCCCCACTGTACCTCTCGTATGTGCATCAAAGATCGACTGAGTGAGCTTCACTCGTAGGCGGGGAATGTTGCGGGCACCTGCTAGAGGTGTGCCGGGTCACTCAAACAGGAATTTCGCGCCTGTAGGCTGCTCTGCTCGGTCGGTCGCTGCTGCTGCTGCTGCTGCAAGAAGCATCCATCGTCGGAGTCATCGGGTAGAAGAAGTGGATAACACGAGATAATCGGTGACGACGAGCATGAAGATGGTGGAGTCGGGCCTAGTAGGGTTTGGCCTTTCATGATTTCGTCTAAAGGATTTGGCACTGATTTAGGTGGACGCGATGAGTATCGAGACAGGCACCAACCATGTTGCGTGATCTCCGTGTCCCATTCTGACCGGAGGCGTCTTTTATTTTGCGGGACAAACACTTCTCGCAACTTTTTCTGGACTGGGCTTTGAGCTTCCTCGTGTTCCTTTGTGCTTGTGGGCTTTTTCTCTCGTGACGGCCCGAGGACTCTCTCCCGTACCCGTCCTTTCCCGTCCCTTGCCCATTTGGAGATAGCCGGAATGTAGATACAGAGTCAACCCTCGACAAAGCCGAGTGGCGTAAAGTCGTTAACCGGCTGCTTCCGCTGCCGGGGCCGGCACGTGTTACTGTTTTTTCCAGTTACTGTTATTTGGATGTATCCGGTTGGCATGAGCTACTACGCTCGCTCGGCAAGCTCGACCTACAAAACATTTCGCGGCATGATGTCGCAGGGTACGGCATTTTTCCGCAGCACGTCGGTGCACTTCGCCCCTGAAATCATAAACAAGCTTGCCCTCAACAGTTCGACCACGTGACTCAATCACGGCGATGCCCACAATTAAGTCCATCTAAAAAACGCAGAACCCCAACGAACGCAAACGTATTCACTCATTCACGGCAAAAAGTCCGCACCGGCCAGACCGAGAGGACCCTGGTTTGCGGCTCGGACTCGCACTATATGCAGAAACGCATGCTGGGAATTATTTATACCAACTTTTGCAGCCTTATCGCACCCACCGGTCCGGAGCGAACGCGGCAGGAGCGACCGGCCGGCAACAGGGAGATGGGCGTCCGGAGCCAGAGATACAAATAGGCCGAGGCGAGGCGCTGGGCAGTAGCAGAAGGCGTCGGGCACAGAGGCGGGCGGGGCAGCTCGGGGCAGGGCAGCGCAGGGCAGAGCTGAGCGGAGCGGAGGAGCAGAAGGACGGAGGCGCGAGAGAGAGCAGCGAGAGAGGGCGGGCACGAGGACGAGGACGGGAACGGCGGAGACGGGAGCAGCAGCGCGGGAGGAGCGCGGGGCGGGACGGGGGTGGGCGCGGGAGGCCCTTTTACTGAGCGGCCGGTGGGATTTCGAGCTCGGGGGTGCGCAGCGCGTGGGGGATAAGTTCTTTAGAGAGAGAGTTACCGAGCTGCGTTAAAAAAAAATGGCCGAGAATGGAAAGGAAACAGCGGCGACTTCCTAGAGTTGCCGGATTCGCTTGCCGCTGACGCCAGGGCACGAACGAGCTCGTGCTGATTCAGCACCAGAAAGAAGAAGAGGCAAGACGAAGAAGAAGCAGAAGAAAACGACGACGACAAAGGAAGACGACGAGAGACGAGCTCACTTGCCCTCCTCCACCTTCTCCTGAATCTTCCCCTCGGCAAATTTAGCCGGCCCTCTATTTCTCTCTCTATCTCTCTCTCGCGCGCCATCTCCAGGCTTCTCCGCTCCGCTCCGCAGGCTCCGACGTGGACTGGCGGATCTGCTGGTCCCGCGAGGCGGACCGAGGGTCGACGCGCAACGACACGACAGGAACCCGGGGGCGGCACGGACCGGGGGCTGACCGGGGGCGGGGGTTGCTGGCTGGCGTCTCCAGTCTCTGGGAGGGGTCGGGGCCCATCGCTCGCTCGGTCGTAGAGGAAGAAGCAGCAGCAGCAGCAGGACGACCTTCACGACGACATCGACAGCGCCAGCGACGAGGACGACGCGTTGGCTGCGCCGGGCCCGCGTGCGCAATTGCCTGGCCTAGTGCAGCAGTTGGTCTGCCGCCGGCTCATCCCTCGATCCATTTATGCGTCGCTGCTCCTCTTCCGTCCCCTAAATTCCTTCCCTCATTCCTCCATTCCTGCTGCTGCGATCTCAGTTGCACTCCATTCCCTTCTGAGCAGGGTATTTAAATCTGGGCACTTTTCGCCGGCCCGGCCAATCATTCATCCCTACGTTCGTCCGTGCGTTCGTCGGGTGAGAATCTACGATCGGCGCCTGCGAGCGTGGCCTGGTCGCCGGACGCTGGAATCGTGAGGTTTCACCACCGCCATCACCGCTGGTGCCGCAGCGCTCTTCCTCTTTCTCGCGCTCTCTGTCACCTCGCAAAGGGAATGGAGTCGGGTGGCAGGAGCGGGGCGACGTGGTGAGGAACAGTTTTTTCTCCGTGTGTGCGTATTTGCTGCTGAATTTCATGGTCTAGTGATTTCTCACCTTAAAAAAGCCACCCCCACCCCCACCCCAACCCCCAGCAGGATGACCCCAAGTCGTGTGACGAATCATAGCCGTGATCGCGGACATTTTGTGTGCTTGCCTTCGGCTGAAAAGACCTGCTCCGAGGGTTTGAATTTGGTTGAGGTTTGAGGAAGGACGCATCGGAGCTCCGTTTTTTGGAATTTGGTTTTTGGGTGAGGAGAACGCAGGGACAGAGCCATGTCGCCGAATAGGGATGTGCAGCTCTCTGATATGGGGCTTCGGCCCCACGTCAGCCAATTCGCACATTCAGACGCGAATCTCCGGCATGAGGATGCTGATTTGGAATCGGTGCCACTCCTTTCCCAAGCCGACGAGGCCCCGTCAGGGACGAGCGTAGTGGAGATCGCTTCGAGCGAGGAGAAAGTGGAGGTCAAAATTGTCGGCATGACCTGCTCCGCGTGCTCTACCTCCGTGGAGAAAGCCTTGATGAGATTGACTGGCGTGCGCTCTGCCTCAGTTGCCTTGCTCCAAAACAAAGCCGAGGTTATTTATGATTCATCCCTTCTCAAGGTATGTCCTAATCCACCCATCTTTTCCCACTCCAATCCGCCACCAATTCCCACTCCATCAGCTGGAATTTTGCAACTTGCTCATTGCTGCTTTTCCCGATGCCACGATCCATAAGCTACGAAATTCGTTAGCACTTAAGCGCAGCTCTGACACATGGAATGCACTGAATGAGTAGTTTGACTACATATGTGGTTTTTCGAACCCTAAGTTGAATTATGCAAGCGAGAGAACTTTTGATGAAGAAAATTTCCGGGATGGACTGGGACGTGTGGGTGGCATCTTGAGTTGAGAGAAAGTTTCGCCCGAGAGAATCCAGTTGACACCCTGGGATCGGATTGCCGGAGAGGTGCGCTTTTTATGATGATGCTAACGTGAATGAATTTGAAAAATGTCAGGAGGACGATATTAAGGAGGCAATCGAGGATGCCGGTTTTGACGCGGAAATCTTAGCAAAGATCGCCTCGACTTCTGGGGGAGGCGCATCTGCCACGGCTATAGGTCATTTTCAGATTCATGGCATGACATGTGCATCATGTGTTAAATCCGTTGAGCGCCTTCTTACGAGTATACCGGGTGTAGTTCGAGCTAGTGTTGCTCTGTCCACTGAGATGGGTGAAGTGGAGTACGATCCGAATGTGGCTACCAAACAGGACATACTGAATGCGCTCGATGATGGATGCTGGGAAGCAGAACTTATCGACAGTACACAGCGAGACAAATTACTGATGAGCATCGATGGAGCATACACACCCGAGGATAGCGAGTCTATTAAGACGATACTGGGCTCATTGAAAGGTGTCAGACAGTTTGTTGTGGACTACGAAGCAAGAAAGGTCGAAGTGTTGTTTGATCCCGAGATCACGGGAGTGAGAACGATCGTCGATGCTGTTGAGGGTCCAGGTGAAGGTGATTACAGCGTGAAACTGCCGAATCCTTACACATCATATTCTCCCGACAGGGCAGAGGAGGTTCGAGAGGTTTATCACCTTTTAAAGTGCGCACTGTGTTTTAGCGTGAGTTCCTCCTCTAACCTGCTCATGTCCCGCCAAAACACGTGTTCTGGGCTCCTTGTCGATATCAAGGAGCATCTGACTGTCTATGCAATGGTTGATGATATAGCCTGCCTGGGTTCCTCGTCTAATTTTATTAAATTTAATATTATAATCTGTTTCTGAGCCATTTCTTATCCGAATATTGTTTTGGGCGTAGTGCCTTTAAACTAATTAGGTACTTGGTCTGAACTAGAACATTTCGATTATTGTCACGAGTTTCTGTGTGGTTAGCCTATTGCCGAAGGGCTCCATGTATCTGTTGACGGGAAACAGTATGCACTCGGTATCGGATTTTGAGACCCTGAAGAGGGCTTTTAGACTACATCTCAGAAAGTATCTTAGTTGTCCCTAAAAGAGTCTACCAGATCGATCTTCAGAATTTTTTCCACGTTTGAAGATTTTGTTCTTGGAGAAGACCAAGAATGGTATCTATGAATTGAGTAGGGCATCACGAACACTGTTCCTTTCTATTGAGAAATGCAAAGGATGATGTTGTTAACGCTAGTAACGGTTGCCGTGTGTGTGCTGCCTGTCGATGCAGATACCGGTCTTTTTGGTTGCTGTGGTATTTCCGCACATAATATCGGTCCGCAAAGTCCTCATGATGCAATGCGGGCTGTTCCGCATATCAGATTGGATCAAGTGGATACTTGTAACACCTGTGCAGTTTTCTCTCGGCCAACGGTTTTACATTGCCGCCTACCGAGCCGTACGCAATGGTTCTGCAAACATGGACGTGCTCGTAACTCTTGCGAGTACTGTTGCGTATCTATATTCTGTCAGTGCTATCATGTACGGGGCGCTGTATGGCTTTTGGCCAGCTTCCTACTTCGAGACTAGTGCTATGATCATCACCTTCGTGCTATTTGGCAAGTTTCTGGAAGCGAAAGCTAAGGGAAAGACATCGGAGGCCATTGGAAAGCTTTTAGAGCTTGCACCGACGACTGCTATCCTCTTGACTGTCGACTCAGGTCCGTTCATACGCCCAGTGTTGAGTTTGAGTTTTCTGTAAATTTCGCGTATACTCTCCGAGGCCTTGGCGTGACCGCATAGTTGATATGACTATTGCCCTCACGAAGCGGACTCGGTAGAAAATTAGTAAAGGATATCATTCGGAAGCTGTTTTCATCACTTCTGCACTTATATATAAATTATCTCTGAAACTAATGAGCACCGACTTTGCCTGACTTCTGCAGAAGGCCGACCCCTCACCGAAAGAGAAATTGATGTCCAGCTCATTCACAAAGGGGACATCTTGAAAGTGCAGCCAGGATCAAAAGTACCAGCAGATGGGCAGGTTGTATGGGGGTCGAGTCATGTGGATGAAAGTATGATAACTGGTGAATCTGCCCAGGTTTCCAAAGTCATAGGTGGTGATGTCATCGGCGGGACCGTGAACATGAAGGGTGTCATGAACATCCGTGCCACTCGAGTAGGCCGTGACACTGCGCTTGCCCGGATCGTCAATTTAGTCGAAACAGCTCAAATGGCAAAAGCTCCCATTCAGAAATACGCCGATTATGTAATATCTCTGGCCTACTTTCCCAAGTTGATATGTGTTAGTGTGTGTAAATGAGAAATGCCGTGATCTTTATCATTCCATACCCTTGGATTTTTGCTCAACGTCTGACAAACTCCTGGTCCGTCCCGGATGGTATCGTGCGTTAAGTGAAGCATGGAATTGCACGGGTGAACCTGTTTTGCGCTCTTTTTTAACCCTTTGGTGGAAGTGAAAACCGCTCTCGAGAAACGTACTGATGTTGAACGTCTTCGACTGGTTGCAGGTTGCCAGTGTATTCGTTCCAATCGTCGTGTGTTTATCTCTGTTCACATTATTTGGATGGTGCGCTATTGCTTCCCACATCCTCACACCTTTCAAGATTTACAGTACAGATGAATCTCGATTACTCTCAACATGTTGACGTAAACGCATCAAATCCGCATTATGAAGCATCTTGAGTTTTATAACATTCTAGTTGAGATCACAAGATACCAGTTGATACTGTTCTAAAGATCCCAATTTTGAGAGAGGCGCCCAGCTTTAGTGGAAATCTTGTTGCAGTTGTAAGGACATACTCAAATCTTTGGATAGATTCTAGTAAACTGCGACTCGCTTGTTGATCATTGCTGGTCCTGTGACAGGTATTTAGCGGGAGCGCTAGGCACTTATCCGGATTCCTGGCTGCCGGAGGGCACTGGACACTTTGTCTTCGCTCTCATGTTTGCTATATCCGTGCTAGTCATCGCATGCCCTTGTGCCCTGGGCCTCGCCACGCCAACCGCCGTGATGGTGGCTACTGGTGTTGGTGCTAGCAATGGAATTCTAATCAAGGGAGGCGATGCGCTCGAACGCGCACACAAGATTCAGTGCGTCGTTTTTGACAAAACAGGAACATTGACTAAAGGCAAACCATCAGTTGTTGGCACGAAGGTTTTCATGAAAATAGATACGGCCGACTTTCTCTCTATTGTTGCTGCAGCAGAGGTACAGTTATTGTCTCTCTACAAACTGGAACATCAAACGAAATCGTTAACATTACAAAACCTGAGTTTTTGTAACTTATTTCCTTTCGTGAACTTCTCTTCTGACTCTGATCATATCTCGTCTAATCTCGACTATAACAGGCGAGCAGTGAGCATCCATTGGCACAAGCTGTCATAGACTACACGCACCATTTTCTGGGATTTGACGCCCCACATGTGGCTGCTGATACTTCGGACACTGCAAAATCCAAGGACACGAGCTGGATAAAGAAGGCATCTGCCTTTGAAGCAATACCTGGACACGGAATACTCTGTGAAGTGGACAACAAGAAAATACTGGTGAGTCGTGCGAATCATGATGAAGACTAGTCTTTGCAGTCATGTGGATGTTATGCAAGTCCTGCTGGCATATTTCCTGCTAATTGAAGCCGGTTATGGAGGGAGAGATAGGATTGAAGCACAATATCAAATGGTTTTTTCAAATTCAGAAGATATTTCGTTGCGGGGCTAATATGTCCCCATTTTACCCTTCCAGGTGGGCAACAGAAAGCTTATGCTGGACAATGGGGTGGAGGTCAGCGATACCGTCGAGGACTACTTGCAGAGCGTGGAGAAACAGGCGAAGACAGGCGTAATTGTTGCCATTAATGGCGTGCTGGCAGGGACTTTGGCCATATCAGATCCTTTGAAACAAGAGGCAGCAGTCGTGATCAAGGGGCTCAATAGTATGGGAATTCAATGTATCATGGTCACGGGCGATAATCAAAGAACAGCTAATGCTGTTGCCAAAGAGGTATTTCCACGCTAGCACCCCGGTCTACACTTTTGATGTTGATTGTTGTCGATATACTGTCCACGCCGGTTGCAAGACAATGTTTTTTGTTGCAAAGACGTCGATAGAGACGGAAGGTCTCGTCGTTTGTGAGCTTTGTTTGGCGCTATTTCGCCTGGGTGTGTAGTCCTAATGGTTTTCAACTTGGGGGTTTCTCGCAGGCTGGTATTGGAAATGTTATGGCTGAGGTACTACCTGGGGGCAAAGTGGATGTCATCAAGAAGCTTCAAGCGAATGGTGAAGTGGTTGCCATGGTAGGAGATGGAATTAATGATTCACCGGCGCTAGCGGCTGCGGATGTGGGAATGGCCATCGGAGCAGGAACAGACATAGCGATCGAGGCGGCTGACTACGTTTTAATGCGAAGTAATCTAGAAGACGTCATAACTGCAATTGATTTGTCAAGGAAAACTTTTCGGCGCATACAGCTGAATTACGTATTTGCTATGGGATACAACCTCATCGCGATTCCTGTGGCAGCGGGTTTGTTCTTTCCCTTTTCCGGTCTGCAAATGCCTCCTTGGGTTGCCGGAGGTTGCATGGCCCTGTCATCAGTTAGTGTAGTGTGCTCCTCGCTCTTGTTGCGAAGATACCGATCACCAAGGTTAACAGATCTCCTTCAAATCAAAGTCCAATGACAAGAAATACATCGTGTGCCCTAGTTGATTCTTTTTGCTGTAAATTAAAGAGAGTGTAAATTATTCATCGTAGGTGTCCCTGCAGTTGGCAGTAATTGCCTCCAAGTTACTTATCATCTGAGAAATGATATGATAATGCCTGGGGATTTCCTGCATTCGGAGATTGATCAGTCGATGAATGTCCATTCATCTGTGCTACTACGTCCATGATTGGAGGTCGATTCATCCATCCATCGTAACTGGATGTGGTCACTCTGTCTGCTTGCGTTTGTCCTTTACTTTGTCCAGTGCGGGAGATGCTTATCCAAGTATCTGCCTGCTTGATGATGAAATAACAAGCGCAGCGTGGTATCTTGCCTTAAGTTGCAATTGGAGAATATCCCGTATGTGATATCTGATTTTCGATAGTTTACTGGCAGTACAAGGAGACTCTACCATGTGTCACAGGATGCCATGAATATGTCGAACGTTAGTGCTCGCCGACTCTTGTTGGCTTCCAAGGCCAAGTATGACTTATCAAGTATTTGTCAGCGTACAATTAACCAAGAGTGTGCACTCAAAAACACTTCGAATCATGATACGTATACACTCAAAGAGATTTCAAGGGGTACACAATTAATATTAATCAGTAAGTTGAGAACTCCTCAACTTTCATTCTTAAAAAAAGTGAGAACAATCTAAGAAGAGGAACAAATTACTAATTGTCCCTGAAAGTGTCACCAGGGAAGGCGGTCTACTTTGTGAAGTAAATACCTGTGTATTGTACTCAGAAGAACATTTCAGTTGCTAAGTAGAACCGTCGTCAGCTGTATCAGAGTTGATTAGTGAACACACTACGCTGGTCAAAGCTTTGAAAATCTTCTCGAAGTTTACATCTTAAATCTCCACGTGCGGGTTGTCTCATTCTGCTCGCTGCGTGATCCGTGCGACCACAGCCTTAAGTCCAGGAATGCCTAAGACTAAAAACAAGAAGAACATTAAAACAGCATTCAAATCCGATGAACTGTTTCCCAGACTAGTGGTGCGGAGAGCGAAAGGATCATTTTCATATAGTTTAAGGCGACATCGTCATCCAACGTTTAAAGTTGTTTTTCACATGGATCGGATCCTTGAGGGCGAGGAACGAATCTGCAAAACATGGAAGATGTGAACGCAAGCATTACTCGTCGACTAGAAAGTCTCGAAGGAGTCTATACTCCAACAAAACACTAATGGAGAGTACGTGGCGTGCAGTGAACAACACGCCGGGTACTGTGCACTTGAGTTGTCTGGAGTATGGAATCGAAGTAGTGAACAACACGAAAATGGTGGTACACAGAAAGTCTCGAAACAACGCAAGCTTTGGGTGAAGTCGGACGAAGTCGAGCCGGAACCGTGAACTTTTCTGTGGAGAACAGAGATTCACTTGAACACGTGACGAAACCCGAATAAATTGGTAGTTCACTTCATCTCCTCGTGCAGTGCCAAGCCCAAGAAAAACTGCGCCAACTTCGAGTCGTATGTACGATGCAGAGCCTGCATTCCTCTTGGTGAGAAGTCAGAGATTCTTCTTGCTTTCAGATCGAGTTTCCCTACCTCTGATGCAAGCTCAAGGTAGGAAACCAGGATCGAAAAGCAAGAATGGATTCTCTCGGTCTTGGCAATAGAGACTGTGGAATGAATCATTCATATAAATGATCTGAATTATGACGAAAGGCCAGAGCTGACCACTACTTAAAGCATTCGAGGCTCTTCCGAACTTGCACATGGAGGGGGCTCCAAAAGCCCTCCATGTGGGAGTTCCGGCTCCCACATGAACTCGTTGCTCCTGCAGAGCCAACTCCCATGTCACGAGTCATGAAAGCTTGCCTGGAACGACAGGCCTGCGCAGCTCCACGCGCAGCCCAACAACTCCTCCACTGGTCAAACAGACTCGTCGTACGTCGTGATGTGAATGAAATGGCCCAATTTTGTGCAACAGCGACGGCTCCTGTCATACGATTCGCACTGCTCGCCTCGCCTCGCCTTCTTCCTGTGCTCGCCGTTGCCGACCCACCCGAACTGCTCCAGTGGCCAAGTGAGGTGTCGCCCCGCAGCTCTCTCGGGGTAGTTCCACGGTTGGCAGACAATCCTTGTCTCTGACAGTCGTGGTCTGCAAGCATGACTCGGGCGGCAGCATCTGGTGACAGGTCAGATCAGATGATGGAACATCCACTGCCCCGACAAGGCTCCCCACTGAGTCGCCCACCCCAACCCGGCACCGGGATCAATCAACAGCTGCTGCAGTGCAGTGTGCGTGTGCATCTCAGAACGACATGCCGCACTCCTCCTGCGGGGACGCCCTCCCCCGACGAAGCAAGCAAGCAAGCTCAGAGTCGGCGGCGTTCCGAGATGGATCAAGCTTCCTCCATCGCCTTCGTGGACCCTCGAGCTCGAGCTCACGTACGAAGGAGACAATGCGCTGGGCATCGAGTTTTTCGGCAGCTGCCCCGTTCCTCCACCGGATCCCACGGACCGACGGACGCTTCGTCACGACCATGTTCCCAGCGCTCGGTCCGCTGGCTTTCCCTCGCCGCTTGACCGGCGCATTGGACGCTCCGGCGCTTCGACGTGAACCGCTCGAGAGCGAGTGCGAGTGCTCGATGAGCGCAATCGATCGCTCTGCGAGGTTCCATGGCTGCGCAGTTCCTCCCTTGCACGCGACGGGAAATCACTCACTGCACTGACAGTTCCAAGTCTCGTGAGCGAGCGAGCGACCCTCGAATGTAGCACCGGACTCGCTTTCTCGAATTCGACATGGGATCGAATCTTGAGCGAAACGAATTGAATTCTAGTGAGGCTCGATTTTTCAGACTATGACTGTTTGTAACTTCTGAGCAGCGGCGGAAGTTGCCTATCGAGGCCTTTGGAACTCGGGTGATGCCGGTGGCGGTGCCGTAGAGCGCGACGCAGCGCGATCTGCGATCGAGGACTTCGAGCGAGAACGAATCGGGAGCCCGCGATGGCGGCGAGGAGAGGCAGCAGCTGGGCGGAGCTGGACAGGAGGAGGTCGCATTCGGAGAAGAAGACCTCCAAGGCCCGGAAAGCGTCGTGGGTGGAGCGGAAATCGCTCTGGGAGGCAGCAGTGACGGACGGCACGGGAGCGGAGCGAATGTTCATGACTCTGGTGGACGATCTCGAGCACCGAGTGAGCAAGAACGCAGCGGGCGTGCTGTCAGGGCTGGACAAGTGCCTGCGGTGCGCGCTGAGGCTCAAGACCTCGGCCGAAAAGCGCAATCCTCTGCTGAACCACTTGTTCCAGAGCCTGCTGCCGCAGCTCGTCGGATTCGTGTACATGAACGAGCCGCTGTGCCATTGGTACGAGTCGGCGGAGCTTCTCAACACCGACCACATGGTCCTCAAGTGCCTGGTGCTCGCGCAGGACCTGTGCAGCGAGTCGCTGCGGTACTTGGTCAAGCCCCGGGCCACTAGCCGCTTTATAAACGCCGTGGCGCTGCTGCGGGTGGTCACCATGGGCGTCGACAAGACGACCTACTTTCATCGCACTCACAAGCACCGCTCCGTCGCCGAGAAGGAGTTCAGCCCCTACGGTGCGCACCACTTCACCCGATGCGTCGCCGGCGACGACGGCACCAAATGCTTGGTCTGCGGCAAGGCGGGAGCGCGCACCAAGTATCGATGGATCGCGTGGCTTTTGGAGAACTTCGGCCAGGCCAATTGGACCAACTTCGAGTTCTTGTCGCAAATTCTCGAGAACCCTCGCAATGTGCGGGCGCTTCCAATGGAGGCCACGGAGGCCATTCTTGGCTTCGCGGCCAAAATCGTCGAGTTTCTTGACCCCGACCTCGCCAAGAATTTCCTCCCCGGAGCTCTGGCCGTCATGGAGCTGCTGGTCCGCCGAGACGTGCCGGGCGCTCGGCCCACCGACCGCTTCATATCTGTCACCTTCATGCTGGACAAGCACTTGGACGCCATTTTCGGGTGCCTTTTGAAACCCGAGGCTCAGACTTGGTTGATGAAGTACGCCCGGAGCTGTCGGTATCGGGAGCTCTTGGGTTACAAGCCTTTGAAATTATGGTGAGCGCGGGGGCAGATCTCGAGCTGGCACTGCAGCGTAAGAGATCCCGAGGGTGGAGGCCCGAGTCTCCGAGTTATCCATGCCAGAGGAAGTTTGGGCCTCGTGTTCGAGGAGAGCTTGCCTATGTCCATCTTCAATATCCATCCTGCTGGGAAAGAACACTTCGACTGGGCTTGTGTGACCCAACTTCTTGACAGACTCGGTTCTTGATTTACCGCCATGTCGGGAGTATCACACTGCCATACTGCAACGTAGAGCTCATGATCACACACAGTGAGTTTGGCAGTCGGCAAACTTACCGATTGTGATCATCAGCTCTTCGTTGCACATGGCCTTTTAAGAGATTTGCAACTAAAATCTCGAGACGCCAAGATCATTATACGCAGCGATGGCGTGGTTCCTAAATTACTCCTTGATGATTTACTCATCGTCATTCTTGCAGACTGTCGGATTCATGTGGTTCGGTTGTGAAGCTATGGGCGGGAGAATTCTTGTGGATTTGCAAAAGACTGTTCTTTATGTTGTTATGAAAGAAGTGGATACATGGACCAGATTAGCTCCAGAACTTGCTTGAAGAAACTAATAGATAAACATAAAATGGTGGAGGTATCGAAGGCGGGATCTGCAGCACACTCCTTTCATTCAGTCAGTAAGAACCGCTCCTTTAATTCAGATAGGTAAGTGTTGGACAGTCCAAGCCGTCGGGTTTCTAATCTTGTGCAGCCAATTCACTGGATTTTTCATCTCAGATCCTAGACCGATGTCTCAAGCAGCGATACCAGGCTCTGGCACTTCTCAGGTTCTTGAACTTGTAACTCGCAGTTTTTTGTATTTCCGGCTTGCTTACAGTTGTGCTTCAGACTTCAGGATGGCAAAAGATGGAATTGGTATCTTCCTTTGGAACCCCGAGGTCACTTTCTCCGAATTGAGGACGCAAGAATTAGCTAATTGGCACAATTTGTGTAAGAATATGCACATTGTGCATGCATGCATAATGTGCATATTCTTCCTTGGGCAATTATTCCTTGGTCATGCATGCCCAAGGAGGAAATTGATGGATCGAGGAATCAGGAAGGAACGTCCTTCTTTCGCTCCGCAAAGTTGGTCACACTCATCGTCGAACTATTTCCCGCCTCTCGGTGCGCCTTCAGAGCGCCGCCTAGCGAACTTTATCTTATCGCTGAGATGGCCCGAAAGACGTAGATCCAGCTGCATGGGGAAGCACAGCTGGTCGTGACATGAAATTCATGCATGAACTGCATCCAAATAACAAACACCAGAACTATCGATGCAAAATTTTAACAAATTTACTTCCAATGAAAACTTTGTACGACAAGTTTGGGAAGTACGACAGTCCACCGACGCAGTCAACGACAGCGCGAGAATCCGCTTCTGGAGAGGATTTTATCACGTAAGCCTCGCTTCAACAGGCCTTCTGCTCCGATCTGGACACACGAACTTCATAATCCAAGCACCTCTTCCGTTCCGCTTGTGCATCTTGTCGGACTTGGAGGATCTCTACAGACAAAAGCTGGACACAGGACCAATCAGTTCCACCGATTAGAAAAGAAAATACAAGCATCCAAAGCAACTAGTGAAATGGAATAAGAGCACCGTCTAACGCTGATATCAAATCTTCGGACGAACTGAACCTATCGGGAAGAAGGTACGAACCTCAAATCAGAACCGCCTTTGGTCGGATGTCAGCAAGATCTGATTTGCCGTCATTCGCGATCTCGTATCGAAGAATCGATTGACTCCTTGCATGAGACGAAATCGTCGCTGGTCTGGAGCCCCTGACTCCTTCCCTTTATCAAGGATCCAAGAAAATTCGAAAACCTCACTAGAGCTTAGATCTGAAGTTCAGATCCTGAACCCCTTCCTTTCATAGACCCGGAAGTGGAAGGGAAGGAACCCAGGATCTAAACACCAGCTGTAACCTCTGTTTTCATGCTCGTCGGTTAGCCCGAGGTTCGAATACTCAAGAGCTCTTGGAAAAAGAGCGCAGCACTGGATTGAAGATGTGTGGAGAACCACGGGAGCTGGCCGCTTCTTATACTTCAGGCTTCCGCTGAGGAACTCGACATCCCCTCGTTCTTCTCGTGACGCGAGGGGTACCGCCATTCATGTCATGCTGCAAAGACTCCTCATAAGTACAATTTCGTTGCACCTCCAACTGGATTGGACCTATCAGTACTTCAGGCCTCATAGTCGTGACTAATGAAATTCTTGCCTCTCCAGAGCTTGAAACGCTAAAGCGTTTGAAGCCACCATTTATATTGGGGATATTGTTCGTCGGTAGACTACGAGGCTCGGCCATTCTATTGATAAATTCAGTATCTATTTTGTTGGATCGAGTCGTTTGCTAGCTTTCACATGCTACTAAGCTCAGCTCGGCGCTCGCGAAGGACGACTTTGTCATCCGTCGCTCCTCCTGCTTAATTTACACCTGGAGTCTATTATGATTGACTGCATGCAGTTTCAACTGTTCAAATCACCTCGCAAATCAGATGGTTGATCGCAGCCGCCACGGTGTGGTGAAAACACAGCTGTAGTACCGTACATTGCGATTTCAATGAGTGTTGGTTTCTTATCATGATTACGAACGCTTTAGATCAGGCAAATGGCCTGCAAGGTGAATTATTGAGGGCAATAATCTCCCGCGCAGCCTTTTAATCCTCCGAATAGTCAGTTCGGGAGATGAGGAGAACCGCAATCTGAACATGCACTCAGATTTCAGTGCGGACTGATGTAAGTTTGCATTATTATTTAAAATTTTGAAATCAAATACTAGGGTAGGTTTGATTTTAGGTAAGGAAGAAGAGAACTTTTTATCCTCATGTTAACTTCCTTTTTACATGGGCTCAAGTTTTGTCCATAAAATTCAAGTTGCAACCTTCAAGAAAAAACACTTCATATTGATGACTTTATCTAATGATTAGATTATCAAGAAAAACGTTATATACTTAGCACAATATATGAATGGCTGGAGAAAAACTTTTGATGAATTAATCATCTAGCCCAGGAGGAAATATTCAATGATTTTCAAATTATAATCATTTTGGTTTGGGCATGGTTGAAGTGGTAAAAAGCGCTGCGAGATCAAAATGTCTTAAGGAATGTTTAGTTCTGCAAGGTCATAATTGTAAAGTTATCACCTGCAATGTTTGTGCATCAACTTGTGTTTAAATTGATATAGAAGAATTATTTTGATTCTAATAACTTAATGTTTTCAAGTGTTTTATATGCTCTTCCTTCTGAAACTTTTTTCATCAACATGTCATGTTGAAATAGAATTTATCCAAGTGAATTATTTTATTATTTGTACCATGATTATGATTCTTATCATTAAGCCTATACACATAAACTTAAAAGTGATTATTTTCTAACATCTTAAAAAAAATTGGTTGAGAGTAGAATTTTTATTATGAGAGTGAAACTATATGGTTATTTTTATACCTCAAATACCAAACAAATTTTTTTCAGAATCGACCAACATTCAATTATCAAATAATAAAAGTTTCATCATTATTCTTCCTTAATCATATATTATCATCCATATATTTTTTTTTGAATCAATGATGTATCAAAAATCAATATGAACATATAATCATAAATTTTTCATCATAAATCGTATTCTCAAATCATCATTAAAAATCAAATAGATTTTTGAAGTGATGGATTACATTTTTTGCAATTAAGATTAAGTATATTTGTATTTTTATAGAATTAATTACATGTTAGGTTGTACCAAGGGTATATTATTGTGAATGTTATTTTTTAAAGCTTCTAATTGATCATAAACATCATCATGTAATCTAAGGAAATAAAACATGCAGTGACTAAAAATTTATTCATACCAATAATTTTCAATTTGTTATGAATTTTACTTATTATGTTTTTGATAACAAATGCATGTTTTAAAAATATTTTCAACTTCAAATATCTCATTATCAACTTTCTAGGTGGATACATTCATATATTTTCTTATGGTTGCGGGTTGCTTTAATTGAACATGATGTACGTGTTTGATTATCAAAAAACATTTTTTGGCAATTTTCACATAGAAGAAGTAAAACTTGAGTTTTTATATGCAACACACACAATAACATTCAAAAAATGTCAACAACTCATTCCAACATCACAAGAATAGCAAAAAAATCTAAAAGTAAATTTTGATATCTCAATCTAATATAAAGTTTATTGTAAATTTTGAAAACCTATTTTTACTCTATCTAAAAAAAATACTTTTATATGCATATATATAATGCATTTATAGATAGAAATCGATCATTAATGTTAACTTTGTTTGATACAAAATTTTACATATGTGATCCAAAAAATTCTTTGTCCAAAATTTTAACTGAAAACACAAAAATTCATAATTATCACAAACAGCAAACAACTTTTAAAAAACATGTGGTTTTACACTTTTGAATTACGTCAATGGCAATAGCAAAGTCTATATTGAGAAGTCACATAATGTTGAATGCAAACTGTGGCTTGACCTCTTGCATATAGTGGCTAATATAATCCCTAGGTCTAATCATAACTATGATTAAGTTCAAATTTAACTCTAATGCAAGTTACGTTAACTAATATTTAATAAAAGACATGAATTAATACTAGCTATTTTTTCATTAACTCATGTCATGAGAATAGTAACCTCCATATATTGTATTATTATTCTCAAGAAAAAATTAAACAAAAGTCTAACATAGATAATACTTTTCACTACAACTAACCAGAACTAAGCCATAGCCAAAACAAGATAGAGTAAAAAGATGTGGAAGTAAAAAAGTTGATAGTAAACTCTATTTGTAATCTTCTTGCAAAGTAGCACAATGTTTGTTAAAACAATTCAAAGAAATGTGATATTTAATTTTGATGTATTTCATTATTTTTATTTTTAACTTGATTTGTAACAAGATGTAATGTAATTTCACTATCACAAAAAAAAATTTACAACCTCATGTTTCAATCACAACTCAATATTAAAATTATGCAATCAAATAGGTCTTTTTTATGTTTTTGCTGCCGTTACATTCTCAACATCCGTTGTTGAGTCGTTATGCATTTTTCCAATATAGATTGTCAACTAATGCAATAATTAGCAAGTGTCTACACATCCCTACCCGTAGATTTTGTCGTCTAAATCATATTCATAATCATCATCAAGATAGTGTAGAAAATATCTGGCATTTTGTTATAAATTTTCAAACTATATATCATAATACTAAATATTTTTCAACTACTTCAGAATTCATTATATTACTTGTTAATGTAACTTACTTAGATGTGATATGAATGTGTTCACTTTGCCTATAGCTAGAGCAATATTAGATGTTATGCACACCATCAGATACATCATCTTGTCAAAAACTTTGTCATAAAAAATTGATGATATATTTTTCTTTTCAATGACATGATTAATAACTCTTGCACTTATTCAAATCTTTCATCTTAAACAAAAACATTAGTTGATTCTTGCATCTATTGATTTATTGTCAAAATGAACATGTCATGGAAAACCTATAGTTGTATGTGTGAATTATTAGTATGATCAATCAAAAAGTTGATACTAGTTAACTTAGTTGTGATTATGTTTAATTAGTTATAATTGAACTTAGCTATAAAATCTATGCTTGGTAGAGTAATTAGTATATTTCTAGAAGTTACAAATGAACAATATTATTTACTCTTTTATGAAAATCTAGATTCTATGAAAAGAAAATTTGACTATATGTTAGTTTTGATTGATTTGAAAAAGTAATAGAATTTCATTAGAAAAATTAAGTCTAAAGTTAATTTAGTGTCAAATAAACTGTGTAAAAGTTTCAACGTTTCAAATGGTATGTCGCCATATGTAACCATCTTTAGTTAGTTAGAATTAAAGTAGAGGTTACTCAAAATGATTATATAGTTACTTTAGCGCTCATTAGTCATAGTTGCCACATCAAAATTTAGCGTGATTGGTAGGTAGAGAGTAAGTGTTTCAATTGATAGCGTCACGTTAACGATCCGTGTGCTTGTTAGGCTTATTCGTCACGTCATTCATCCACTATGAATAAAATGGATGGTGAAGATGAGATCTTATCTCCTTGTATTTATTGATAAGAGCTATATAAGAAGAGTAAAATCATTGTTAGTCTCTCTCCATTTTAGAGTTTATATTTTCATCTTCAAGTGAACTTCTCTCTAAACCCTAGTGTTACAATGGTATCAAAATGACATTGATATTTTCTTGAGTGTGGATTAATACTCATGGTATAACAAGTGATTGTTGATAAAGTGCAATTTTTGAGAATGTATAGAGATTCATAGAGTTCTACAGAGACTGTCAAAGATCATTAATCTGCATGTAGAGAGAGGAAGAAATGAAAAGTTGTGGCTTTGCAGTTATGTATAAACTTGATAAATTTCCAATCTCGCATTGGTTGATTCTTAATCTGTTCAATATTTATCTTTGTTGTATGGAGAAACATTATTTTTGGATGTATTTTGTGACTTGTTGGAATATATAAATTCTATGACTAGAGTGATGAAGCCAAGAGTATATTCATTCTTCCAACAGTTAGTTATAAAGAGATTTGAAATTGTATCATATACATAATATACTGAATGTTTTATGGATTTGAATCGCGAACCACACACCTCAATTTGTTTCAACACTTATTTTGGAGCTTAGAACATTATATCGACCAAAGAGATTATGAAGAGATTTTTTTGTGAATAGTGATAGGGAAGAGCATTGTAGAACCATGATAGAATCACCTATATCTTTTGTGACTCTTTTGTTGAGAGATTAGATTATGGTTATACTCACTTTGAATTAGATAAGTGTGAGAAAACATGAGTATATAAATTGATATGGATGAAGTCCTAAACACAATTATGGCAAAAATGAAGGAGTTGAAAAAAATGATGGTAAATAGATATATTAAGCAACAAGCAATAGAAAATAAAATCTTTGCATTGGAGATTGTGTAGTGAAAAAATGTGTGAGTGTAGAATGAGTGAAGGAAGATTGTAGATAGAGAAAGAGTTGATATATATTGAACCTCAAATTCAAGCTCCTCAAGTTCACTCGGAATCAATTCCTATTGATGCGGCAAATGCAAATAAGAGACATTTTCAAGAGATTGAAGATCAATCAAATTTTTTATTTTGAATGAAGAAAAAATCTTGTAAAGTGAAAGTTAAAAAAAAAAAAAAGCAATGTAAGTTTTAGAAATAAAAATAATGATGATGAAAATTCATTTTTTTATTTTTTTATTATGTAAACAAATATTTATCCTCGTTATCCATTTACTATTATACAGTGAATATTACAATGAATATGAATATTCATTTATATTCATATTTTTAGTTATATTGCATGAATGTTAACAAGAACTTATCTACGGATAAGATTCACACATGTTACACAACATTGAAACGTTTGTTTTTAGAAAGATTTGCTAACATTTTGTGATGTGAAATGCAAGAAGTACTTTTGTCATGTTAAAACGAGGTTTGAAGTATCGAATTTGAAAATAGTTGATGATAAGCAATCCATTCTCAATGAACAAAGCAATCGCAATTGCTCAACAAAATTTGAATACTTATAATGTCACACATGCGAACCATCAAAAAAAAATTTAAGTCATCTGGTTCCACACCGATACAGTTAGAAAACCTTTGACGTAAAGAAAGTTTTGCACCAGCAAGAATATCACCGCCAACATTTGGAGTTGAGAATCGACAACCAAGAAATCCAAATTTGCAAGAATATTATGCAAATAGTGGAATGGTTCGAGGAGGAGCGGAAGTTCACTATGAACATTCACATTAGAGGAGCAAGAAGAGTGGAATAATCTTTTGTTCCTTGTGGAATTTGCATACAACAATTCTGTAAATCTATCATCAAAAATGTCTTCATTTTACGTCATGTACAATGTTCATCCCATTACTCCATCAAGTTTAATGAAATTTTTGAAAAGTGAAGAGTTTTCAACTAAAGTAGACGCGATCAACAAATTTGTGGAACATATTCATTGAAGTCTACACAAAACAAAGAAGAAATTGCTGAGTGCTCAAAATCGACAAAAAGAACATGCTAATGCTTATTGTCGGAAGTTAGTTTTTCAGATTGGGGATCAAATTTGATTATCTACAGTAAATTTGTTTCTTGTATGAACACCAAAGTTTAAATCTAGATTCATTGGTTTTTTTGTGATATGAAAAGTATTGGTGAAGTGTCATGCAATTTGGAGCTTCCATCACATATGAAAATACATAATGTATTTCATGTGTCACGATTGCAAAAACATGTAACACGAACAAAACAATTCACAAACCAACCAATGTTAACTCCTTTATCAACCTTGATAATTGTCAAGAGAAATTTGAGGTAAAATAGATGTTCACAAAACGTATTTGATGCCATAAATATTCCAAGGTTGAGTATTTGGTTCAATGTAAATGATATCTATTATACCAATCCACTTGATAACCAGCTAGAAATCTAATCAATGCACCGTTGATAGTTCAAAAATTTGAATGGATTTGCAATGAGTACGTTGCATCTTAATGGGAAATAGTTTTGTAATAATCTTTAGTTAGATAGATTTAAATTAGAGTTTACTCAAAATGTTTATATAGTTATTTTAGCGCACATTAGTCATAGCTGACACATAGATGATAGTGGAATATCTACAGTGTCACATGAGCAATCCGTGTGCTAGTTGGGAACGATACGTCATCAATCTGTGTGCTTGTTAAGTAAATATTAAGAGTGCTAGTTAGTGTGTTGATTGTGAGCGCCACATCAACGATTTGTGTGCTTGTAAGGATTATCCCCACGTTATCCATCCACTAAGAGTGGAATAGATGATATAGTTGAGATCTTATCTCCTTATACTTGTTGCTAAGAGCTAAATAAGGTAAAGTAAAATCACTGTTGATATCTCTCATCTTTAGAGTCTATGTTTTGATCTTTGAGTGAGCTTTTCTCTAAACCCTAATGTTACACCACCTTAACCTAGATTTTAGAAAATTTTTAAAAGATTTTGATAAGCCAACGTCATGTTATTATGCAAGAATAATTAGTAAAACCTATGAAGGTTTATCTTGCTAAAAGTACGTTACATAATAATCATAATGTGATACTATGGTATTTTTTTTATTAATATAAATAGACAATAAGAAAAAATGACTCCCAATCAAGTTTTGAAAGTTCATTGTGTGTGAAATTGTTTACATTATTACACTATTCACTTGGAATCATGTTGAATGATGAATGAATAGATTATGTGAAATGTTGTTTGAGACAATAGCAAGTACACAAATGATTTTTGTATAGTTGTTTTGTCTTTTACAATTATGACAGAAATAACATCCGAGATAAATTTGAATGAGATCTAGCCCAAAGATCACAATCATCCAAGTACAGTACAAGATTGATAAAGTTGAAGATACCATTATTCATGTTCTTCATGTATAAGCATATATCATACACATATCATGAAAATGTTTTTGCTTTCATGAATTCATCAAATCTTTCATTTCACTTGCAATAATTTATTTTCAATCTATAGAATGTTTCAACCATCTAAAATCCAACTTCTATTGATTTTTCATCCCAAAACCATTAGTTGTTTCATGAAACTTTTACCTCTAAAGATCCATAGAAAACTAATTAAATATATTAATATGATTCATAACAAGATTAAATATTGCAAAAAGTGCACATACAAATCAAATTATAATATATTTTGATACATGTGTAATAAATGTATTGACATTCACATCTTTTTTTTATCTTTAGCCACTAAGAAAGACTTAAAATTTTCTTCTCTTGTCATTTATTGGATTGTGTTTCAATTTGTTTATCCATTTGCAATTAATAAAAATTTAAATACTTGGAAATTCTACTAACTCTCAAATCTAGTTATTCATCAACTACTTCCTCTTGAGTTTCAAAGATGGATATGAAATACTTAGTGAGCTGAAAGATGTAATTTTTTTTCTCATCATTTATTTTCTCTCACAGATTCTGAATATCAATCTCAAGAGCACCAACCACGTCAAAGCAATTTTTAATCTTTGTGCTAGAAACTTTCATCTTGTATTATGTTCTATTTTATAAGTCTTTGCAATAAAATTGTTGTTCGAAAATCTTGAACAAGATAGTGCAATCCTCATATTCATGTAATTGATTCAAAACCAAAGTTAGTAGATGAAATATCAATATGCTTACATCTCACTAGAATGAAATATTCTATAGTTCAATTCTATTTTGGAGTCAATAACATTGAATAACAACTTTCAAGAAATTTTTAATATGAGATTGCTACATTTACTTGCAATATTTGATGCCATTTATTTGAAATCTTATTTGAAGAATTATTCTTTTACTAAATTCAATACATATAAGCTGAGAAATCATTACTTTACAAAGTGTATGACCATACATAATTCTTTCCTGTTTTTGAATTTGTAGCTTGTAAGTTATTGTTGAAATCTTATTTAAATTCTTTTAATTATGATGAATTATGTATAGTTGATGTTATATATGATTTGCACAAAAAATTATCTATGATAGATAACTGTCTTCATATTATTTCGGAACAATAAAAGAATAAGAAAAATAAGATTATTTTAAAATATTATTTAAAAAATTAATTTTTTTATTTCCTATTAAGTGTAATCTGCAAACAAGTAATATCCAACTATGTATATTGTATTGAGAATATGTATGTGCAGCAAACCCTTCACATTGTCAGCAATGGCCATCACTCCAGAGTATTTAGTTAGATGACACTGGAGACACGAGTGCAGGTAGTCGTCTGTTTTGGATTTGATGAAGAACAAATTAACAAGGACTTCAGAATTGCTTCATACTCCAGCTGGAAGAAACTGGGAGTAATTTACTGGGAATATGGACAAGATAGACATAGGTCGTGCTTGAACCAGATGTTCCACTCAATTTAAAAACTTCAAAAAAATAATTCCAGATGCTTTCTCGATGCGCGTGACGCTCTGACCATTCAAAGTTTCAGATTCTCAACGGTGTTTTTTGGGGCAATGGACTGCGGTCATGAGCTTCGAGAAGTTTGGTTCGAATCACGAGAGATGATGCATGGGAGGCTGAGACTGGGATTGTGCCACCGAACACAATCCGAGTTCAACAAAGAGGTTTCTTGGATTGCTAGTAAGTTGTCAACTTTGCTGATTAGTGTGATGATAATCTCTACGTACTGGTGCGCAGCATGGGCTTCCCTTCGAGGACAAATTGGCAAGTTTGCTATTGTTTTTTCCTGAGATCATGGATGGTGAGGGTCTGGTTTGTAATGATGATGATTGGACGTGTTGATTTACGCCTCGTAAGCTGAGGATATTCTCACTTTTATGACAGTAGTAGTCAAGCATCGGGGTAAAAAAATCGTGTGAATTGCTGAACCAAATGCTGGGAGTTGCAAAGTCTGGAGCGACCAGTTCTGCGAGTCAGTTCTGGAGCTGATACGGTCCGTGTATCCGTTTCTTTCCGAAAAGAAGCGGATGCATGGACCACATCAGCTCCAGAACTTGAGAAACTATGCGATGGAAACGAACTTCGTTGAAGCAATTGGTTGAGAGAACATCATCGATTAAGAGAACCTCATGACAAATGAGAACCGCTTTTGTTTAGTGATCAGCAAGATTTGGTACACCATCTTTCCAGTAATCGATTGGAAAAACCGATTGACTCCTTGGATGACACCAAAATGTTGCAAGCCCGCGATGTCACGAGAGCTAATATCTGGAAATTTAGATCCTGAGCCCCCTCCCCTCAAGAACTCCGAGCTGGAAGGGAAGGAACAAGGATCTAAACACCAGCTAAAACCTCTTCTCCTCACATGAGACCAAAAGGTTGGGGGTCCTGAGTTTTTCCGAAGCTTTCAGATCCTGACTCCTTCCCGTCCTCAGGGATCGAAGCAAATACGGCAACTTCACTAGAGCTTATATCTGAGGTCTAGACCCTGAGCCCCTTCCTCTCATGAACTCTGAGGTGGAAGGGAAGGAACCCAGGATCTAAACACCAGCTAAAACCTCTGATTCAAAATCGTCGCTGGGCCGCAGGATTAGAACACTGCAGAGATATTGAAAAACGAGCGTATTGAAGATGTGTAGAGAACCACGGATCTGCCCGCTACTTATACTTCCAGCTTCTGTTGTGGAACTCGACACCCCTCATTCTTCTCGTGACGCGAAGGTGTACCAGCGCTCATGCTATGCAGCAGATGCACCCGCATGAGTACAATGTCGACGCAACTCCAACTGGATTTGAGCTGTCTGTCCTCAAGGCTTCAGAACCTGACTAACGAAATTCTTGTCTCTCCAGCACATGAAACTCTGACGTTTCAGCCTTTGAGACTCCACTTATCGTTGTGAACACTGCTTATCGGCACTGAGACCATCCAGCTTGGCTATGATACTGATGAAATCACCATCTCCTTTGCTGGCCTTCACATGCTCCTGAGCTCGGCGAGGACGACTCTGTCCTCCGACGCTCCTCCTGCTATTTTGAAACTGGAGTCTCGTGATGATTGCAGTCAGTTTCAACTCCCAGCTGTTCAAATCACTTCTCGTGACGATCAGATCGTTACTCGCAGTCACCACGGTGATTTGAGATCACAGCTGTTGTACCGTACAGGTGAGATTTAAATGCTTACTGGTTTCTTATCGTTATGCCGAACTAAACTCATGAGTACGCATGCTTTTTGGATCAGGCGAATGGCCTGCAAGGCGATTTATTGACGCCAATGAGCTCCCACGTAGCATTCTAATCTTCCGAATCGGCCGTTTGGGAGATGAGAGGAATCAAAACTCTGAACATGCGCTCGGGTTTTAGTGTAGATGTCCAATTCATGGCAGCTTTGTTTAGAGTTTATGTTACTGTAGATGGACCTGAGATCTTCTTCGTCCGGATGTCATGATGATATTCTTGTCTAGCAGACAGGAATGAACCAACACGACTACTCTCCTCGCTCGCTTTCATAATCTGTCACAGTGGCAGCTATGTACGGAACTTTAACCTTCTTACGGTTCAGCTATGCTGACAGTCACATTGGTGCTCATGAACTCCGTGTAGCATAGCCACGGAGAACTCCCAATTCTCTTGCTGTTAAATCAAGTATCAACCCTAGCTCTTAAAATGGTGTGTGCACATTCAGAAAGCATCACAACCTACATGGTTTACACAGTCAATTTTACTTTAGTACCAATTTGATTATTTACTGTTGCGCTTAAAAATAATACTTGGTTTGTCATACTAAAATTTTTTAAATCATACTTTTTCCTTATATGCTTTTCGGATTATAGTTATGAAATAGAATCAAGTTAGGTTGTGAACTTTCAATACTTCAGATATTTGTGCAAGTTGATTTTCATGTCAACTATACATGTTGGCGATTATGTACGGAAAGATCAGGAAGATTCACATGATTTGTCTGTGGAAGTGTAATTATTGAACTATCTCTAATTACTCTCTAACATGTATAGTTGACGTGTAGTTAAACTTGCTGCAATTTCAAAATGATTTCAATTCACCATAACATATATAGTAAAAAATTGAAGAATGTTGCATATAATGAATATCATATCAAGAAAACCAAAAAGGAAAATAAATCTGATGAAAAGTGAATGTTGAAAACATCATATTTACAAGAAGATATTGCAAAGTTATGTTCTAATTATTCTTTGAAATTTTACAAAAAATGCAATTATTGTTGCACATGATTATAGACAATCATGTGTAAGAATGTAAACTTTTAACATGCATTGTTAGAATTTTATACTGATTACTAAAAAACTTTTGTCAGACTTTTGATATTGAGTGATATCAACAATCAATCTTACTGGAAAGATTGTGTTCTGACGGGAGATTTTGAACAACATTAGCTTTGAACAGCTAATGATGTTCAAAGCTATTTCTCAATGATAGGTTATGTATTAAGATGGTTGATGACTGATAAGAAGGATGTTAAAAGTTCAAATCTTGGATAAACTTTATAGCTTTGAGAAAATATATCTTTGAAGTTTTATAAACATATAAGAGAAATATTTACAAACGATATTTTTGGGAATATTTTAGTTTTTTTTCCCGATTTTAATCAACAAATCTTAACGTCATATCATTTATTTGCTGGAATAAACCATATTACATATCCACTTCTTCTGTAAATACTTACATAATCTGTTATGGTTGCAGCATCCAACTTACAACTCTTTATCAAGCAGTTTCTACATATTATTATTATTTATTAACGCTGCATTGGTGAATATCTTTCGAGTGCATGAAACTATTCAGATTTTATTCAAATGTCTTGGATCTTGTTTAAGAGAATCCCGTCTTCAGTTTGCACACCATGGTTTCTCTTCCATTTTTTGCACATATCTTTTGGTTGATAAATTGTCTTCTTGTTTAAATTTCAAGTTGAAGAACGGTCAAAAGCCAAAATACTCAATTACACTTTAATATTGTTGAGTTTTATACTCGAAGGAATATTTTTCCTTCTTTTGAAAATCCTTTTAATACAAGCTTGGCTATATATGTACAGAGATCGTCATGCTATTCTCTTCACATGAAACTTCTATATCTTATGTTATGAAGTGACCTTTTCCCTCTGAAAATTTAACTAGTTCCCACATCTGATTGCAGATCACAGAATGCATTAGTAGCCTAATGAGTTTCATTAATCATTGAAGCTCAACTTAATCAGTCAACGATGATAAGTTTTTATCATATACTCATTTATCACCTGCTCGGCACATGAGTCCAAGAAGACCTGCTCAATACATGACCTAAAATAGAAGTTGTTATATGTCCAACTTTTGTATTCTTATTGTCCAACAAGTTTCTCAGATTGAGTATTTGTTACATTTGGCTCTATGACTGTACCATCTGGAATGTTGAAGACATCTGCAAATACTCGCCCACTCTACTTAAAGTAGTTGTTTTCATATTTTTTTGCATTATCTTATTTATCAATCTTTTACTGAAAACCACATTTCCCTATTATCTTCTTGTTCTTTTTATCCTACATGCAGTAGTCAAACTCATACTCATCATAGAAAATTTTAAATTTGGGATCTAGCTAATTCATACCTTGATTGCTGAAATGCAGATATGCTACACAACCTAAAAGTTTAAGGTATTATAATTCAATCTCTTTCTCACTTTTAATGAGCTCTAATGTACCCGATGGACTTCAACTTGTGTTGCCTTGTTTTCTCAAGATGTTTTGGTAGACCTGATTAGAGAAATGCTTCTGGTTCTTTATTCAAACTGTTGGTTGTCAAACTGAACTATACCATTGTGTTGGAGTTGTACTCAACATGATTTTTTCTATTCTATGCTTGTTAGTAGCAGATCTTGTTACCTCCTTTAGCTCCCACACATGTTAAGTGTGGTGTCTTATCCACACTTAACACTGGTGTCTTATCCACCAGTGTTGGTTGTGAGCCTTTTAACCTTCAAATCTGTCTCAGTTTCTATCATATCTACATATGCAAATGTAAGTCTATCTCATCATGGATGAGATAGTCGTTGGTTGCCAAACATCATGGTGAACAAGCTCTAAACTTTTCATCTTAAGGAAATCACTAACTTGTCTGAAAGTTCATCCTTTTTTACTTTCCAAGTATGCAATCTTCATACATGTTTAATTCAACTGATTGTAGACCTAGATGTTTACCGTAAGAGTGCATCTTTCTCTCGCTGATGTGGATAGCCTCTGATGCCACATATTGGATGTCGTATCTTTTACTGCAACTCCAGTTTAACAGCAAGCCCTATTATTCATCACATTGAGCATCATCATTGCATCTTGGGAAAATTATTTTTTCTCACAGTGGAAGGTTGTAGTGTAGCCTTGCGCACTGCATTATTATGATCAACTATTTCTTGGGATGGGGATACGCCTCGAATCCTCTAAATTCGAAAGGTATCCGTTTAACTATCGACATCAACTACAGTATGAACTCTGTCACACGATTTATCTTCTCCAAGGTGTACCTTTTCAAAGTTTCAAGGAGATTCTTTTTGACGAGTAATCTCTTCAAAGTGAGATGGAGTAGTAGTATCGTCTTTCATCATCTCTTACCTATCATCACTTTCTGAGATGGAGGTAGCATGCGACAAAGTTTTTACGAATGGGCCGGTGAAAACCGAGTCTTCTGGTCTGATTTTCAGAATGCACGCTCCCAATCTTATCCATCCTTTGTACCTTGCAAACCAATAAATCCCAATGCGCTGCTACATGTTTTGCCGTCAGACAGTCTCGATCGAGAGACTCTACTACCAACTTGCTTCCATTGACTGGATCTATGCAACCGTAGATTAGCTGGGATAGACTAGTCGGCACCGAAAAAGACACTTCGGACTTACTCTTCCGTCCATGTGAAGACATCCTCAAGTTGATGTATCGAAAGAATGCTCTCCCAGGTCATGATCATCTTACCACGTCAGCTCCTTATTGGCATTTGCCACGGCACAGAAAATAATGAGATTAGAGTATTACGAAACGAGAGCTTCCCATACGATACAATCGGCTAACAAGTAAATGCCTCATGGATTCAACAGACCAGAAAAAATTTTAAATCACGCATTTATGTACAGTGTTTGAAAGGAGAAAAGCCTGAAATTTTGAGTACAATATATCTATCTACTAATCGAACCGGCTGTCTATACTCAGAGCTACGAGCAGACTCTATCTCCGTAAATACTAGACTTCGTCCTACATCTCATCTTCTCCGTCAAACTCCGAGCTATCTCCGCCTTCGCTTTCGCTTTCGCTGGCAAAGGCATCGACGTATTTAGCTACAGGTCGGGTTGCCCTCCTGGGCCTGGCTGCTGCCACTGTCGTCTCGTTCTCGCCGAAGTCCTCTAGACTTCGCGGTAGATCAGCAGGATCTTCGAGAGGACCGCTCTTTTTGTGGAATGGAGATATTCTAAGCTTCTGTACTTTCAGCTGTGGGGATTGTTTGTATGGAGAAGACGAAGACGCTGCTGCTGCTGCATCTCCTTTCGCTTTGGGTTTCGGTCCTCGCTTCTTGGGCACTGCAGCGTCGGACGATGCGGCTGTAGCTGCTTTCTTCGGAGCCGGAGCTTTTTTAGCTGCTGGAGCTTTCTTTGGGGCAGCTTTTTTGCGGCCCTTCGGTGGTGATATCTCCTCCGCCTCAAAGTCGGAATCGGATTCCAAAGCGATGATATCGTCTTCACTATCACTGTCAACAATACGCTGTTTAGTGACCCGCTTTGTAGGTGCTTTCGGGGCTGCTTTCGGTGGTGGCGGAGCTTCTTCTTCCTCTGCATCTTCTTCTTCATCCGATAGGTCCATGAAAGCCGCTGCAGCTGCAGTCTTCGGAGCAACCACCGAGCCTTCGCTACCTGCGACGTTGTACGTGTTTGTGAGTTGTCTTCAGAGACTAGTGTACTAGAATGGTGTAGTAAGGTAATACGATAAAAAAGGCTTGTGGTTACGGTTGGAGAGGTGCCAACCTGGAGAATTCCCCCGCAGCTTCATGTTAGCCATACGGTCAGTCAAACTGAGGTTCAGTCCCAAATCCTCCTCGTCACTATCATCGAGCTGCACTCAGTGGAGACATGTGGGCAAATCAGATGGATGATTGGCTCGGATAAGAAAATCTTCGAAAGTAACCAAAACACCGATATCTATGCTTTACATACCACAACTGGTTTGGTAGCAGGAGGCTTCTTCACTCCCGCTTTTGCTCCCACGGGTCTTCCAGCAGCTTTCTCTGCATAATGAGTCCCATTGATCAGAATGGCGTTCTTGATAAGAGAACAGAAGTTCATTAACGAACTCTCAGTCTAATTTTAAAATGCTTACTCTTAGGCACAGCATCTTCAGACCCTTCCTCGACAGCAACAGGTGCAGTCGTAGCTGTCTTCCTCGGCTGAGGTGGCTTTTTCACGGCCTTTGAGGCTCCTGCTCGCCTGACAATCTTGGATCCTTCATTGGCCATGACTTTTCTCTCATACTCGGCATCCTTGGCCTCTTCAGCTTCATTTGCCTGCACATAGGGGACAGGATGTCAATAGATGTTCACTTTATTATCTTGCTGTGAGCTCATCGTGCGGGAAAATTTACTGCACTTACGTCAAGCTGAATCAGGAATGCTTCCAAGTCTCTGGCCCATAGGTCCTCGGGTGAAGCTTTCCGGAGAGCGTCTACTTGTCCTTCGAACTCTTCCTTCTGGCTGAGTAACAGCTCGACCTTCTCAAATGTTAGCTGTCCAATAGCCATAGACAGAAGATACTCGTAGTCTCCAATGCGTACGTCTTCCTTTCTAGGTTCCTCTTGCTCAGATGTCTCCTCCCCTTCGACTGGCTCTGTTCCTGCCACAGGTGGTTCATCTTTCTTCCCATTCTTAGGGAAAGGTCGGAACTTCTTGATTCTCAATTCCTCCAACAAATCTGCTCGTTTTCGATTGCTGACAATGATTTCCCCTTTTACAACCCCAAGAATGAAGCGCACTTTATTTGCCAACTTGGCCAAGTCCTCTTCCAGGTTTGACAGTTGCACAGCCTGCACATCATTACACGCTGATCCTTAAAATAATGCTCTGAACCTTGCACGCGATTGAATGATTGAATTGTTGTTCATAACACGGGGACTACAAAATCAGCTCCAACGCGAAATATTCAACTGCTGTCCTGGAATTTATTTACTGCTACAGTATGCAACCATCGAGATTGATATGAGCAACTGAACGGAACATCTAGGTGGTCAAGACATCAAGTTCAGAGTGCAACCTTTCTCTTGACGTACAGATCCAGACGAATGTGGAAAAACTCCTCCAAAACTGCAGTGAAGGAAAATGTCAGCTACGGCAAAGCCTTTGCAAAAGTGACTTGACAGAGTTATGAGACCGTGAGTAGGAACCTCAAAGTATACAAACTATGTCGACATAAGATGTCCAACTTTAGATGGGAGGATGCATACTTTGTTCGGGGGTGTCGTATTTCTTTATCATTCCATTGGCATCGAATAAATGCATATTGCCAGTGCTGATCTTTGTCGTCAGATTGAACTTTTTGGTGAGACCTTCGAGCAAAGCTATATTCATGTTCTCCTCTGAAAGCTGGACTTCAAAGTCAACTGCTGTGTCGGTTCCATGCTCACGGTAATCCTGCAAGTGGAGTTCGAAATTTGGATGATATAAACTGGAGCCCGTGGAATATTGGCCTCAGTAGTAAGTGTAGCCACGACGCAGACAGCGTACTTCTCAACAAACGTTTGAAACGTCACATGTTATCAAGATACAATCAGACTACATTTAATCAACACAGATTAGTATGCGCCACTTATACTCATGAACTAAAACTTGCTTTAACCCCTCGCGAATCATACCTTAATGAACGGCTCCTTGACCTTGGCCGAACCAACCATAAGAGACTCAAGATACTCCTTGTAATCTTGAGTCCACTTTTTGACGGGTAGCTCTGTTATCTTCAGGGTCGTCTCATTGATCTGATCTATTATTCCCGTGCAAGTGTACGTTACACCATTCTCTTTCACAGCTGATCGCTCAATGGTTCCCTGAATCAATCGCAAAAGCATGAAGATTTCTTTGTAAGAACAAATAAAGAAAATCGATTCATTTCGTTTAGGTTTTTGGAGGATCACACAATCTAGCCGGAGCTTTTGTAACTATGATATAGCTCACAGAAAACAAATTTCACGTGAACGATTTTACGACTTTCCGTTCGACAAGCATAAAGCATCCTCATACGTACCCTGAAGCCTTTGTACCAGGGATCCATAGGTACCATGGGTTCATTTTTCAGCAGGCGCATGATGTTGGCAACGATATCCCTTGGATTGTAGTTCGGCACGTAGGTACTCCACCCAGTTCCAATTCCTTCACTCCCATTTACAAGCACCATCGGCAAAATAGGAGCGTACCTACAGGTGTAACACTCAGCTCAATTCAGAGTCTACATAATACAATCGTTAAAGAGAAATGGAAAGCAGTCTTCAGGAATCATCATCAAAACGTGAAGTCGATGCCTACCACTTAGGCTCGATTGACTGGCCATCCTCTTTTAAATACTCCAGAAGCATGTCATCGGGTTGTGGATACAGTTTACGAGTGATCGGTGACAGACAAGTAAAAACGTATCGAGAACTTGCGTGATCTTTACCTCCCTGTGAGACGAAACCAATGATAAGCCTCTCTGTAAGACAGTATGGACCATGTAAAGTAGTGCGGAAAGAACATGTTAGTGTACATGACTGGATGCAATCTAGTTGAAGTTTAAGCTGGTTAAGTAATGCACGGTTTGTCATGCAGCTTGACAAACCTGATTTCTTGTACCGAACTGCCCGAGAGGAGCAAGCAGGTTGATGTTGTTACTGCCGACGTAGGTCTGAGCCATGTTGATAATGGTACTCGCTAAGCTTGCCTCTCCGTGGTGGTAGGCGGAATGCTCTGACACGTATCCAGAGAATTGCGACACCTGATCAAGAGCCCAAAGACCTTAGTCGAATTGATACAACAACTGAGAATGTTGTCATTCTGTCAAAATAATGTCATGATAAAATTTTGAAAGTTTAGACAAGTCCCATCATTCATACCTTCGCTTGTTTCACAAAGTTTCTCTTGAAGGAGCAATACAGAATCTTCCGCTGCCCAGGCTTCAACCCATCGACCATGGATGGGATGGATCTTGCTAAATCGGCTATGGAAAACTGAATAAGCTCCTTGTTAACGAAGTCTTCGTAATTGATGACTTCAGCGCTTTGGTCAAGAAAGGTTCCTGGCTGAGAAATACACAACATGTAATGATTTCATTCAGTACGTGCTCTGTAATTAAGGCACTTAGATTACGAAGATGATGACGTTTAGAATGTGAATAAAGATTCTGCTTTGGAGATCAAACGTACCTCGTAATGTCGCAACCATGTCTTCCTGGCATCAACCTTCTTTTTGCTGAAGGCCATCTCAATAGCGTCTCCATCCTTCTCACTCTGCCAGGTGAAGTCCTTTTTGTGCCTTCCTAGATCCATGAAGTACTCCTTTCCTTCTTTGGAAGTTGAAGTACCCAGACCCTGTTTCCACAACCCAGAGCAAGAAGATTACTCACCTGGATTGCCTGTATATCTCGATGGATAAAGTTCTCTTGGGAGACGCTTTCTTAACAAGTGAACAAATCTTAAAGACATAAAATATTTCAACGAACCTTATAATACTTTATGGTCCACTTGTTAGCTTCACCTGCAACGGACTCCTTCCACGATTCATACTCTGGCATGCTGTAAAACGATAGTACTCGTCCACTCTTATGCGTTGCCTGAAGAGGTTTTGGCCAGCAGAATCAGCGTCAGTCATTCACAACCTTAACACTGTGTCCCAAAGCCTGCAATGACGATGAAATCTAGAGCCAGTATATGATTGAAAACTACAACGCTCATAAGTGGCTGAACGATCGACCTATCTCGCAAGTTTGAGATACCTTAACAATTGGAGTGATGAACTCCAGAAGAAAGTTCGGGATTTTGAGTAGAGAAGGCCAGAACGAATGGATGAAATTGATAAGCAGACCCTTGATGTGCGAACCATCATGATCCTGCAATATTGAGTTTCCATACCTTCAGCGGGTTAGATATAAACAGAAACTGGAGCATCATCGATCCAAACCGGATTGCACCAACAGAAGGAAGCGATATCTTAGACCTGAACAGAGCGTCAATAGCTGCCGATCAAATATCAGTAGACGTATTCGTTTACCTGATCGGTCATAATCATAAGATGACCATATCGCAAGGACTTAGTGCTGTCGTAGTCCTTTCCGTGCTGTAGGCCCAGAATTTGTTTTATGTTATTAATCTCCGCGTTCTCCATGACTTGGTGTTTGCTTGCCTCTCGTACATTCAGTAGCTTTCCTCGAAGTGGAAAACAACCGTACTTGTTTCGTCCAACCACACTAATTCCAGCCATCTGCGACAGAGGTACTTCACAAATTTAGTGCCACACCAAGCCTTACGAGTACAGCTTTCAACGACGTCCAAAGCTAGCACCATCCAGAAGACCTGCATGTTCAACTCGTTTCTGGGATCTGCTGATCTGAAGCATCGGCACATAATTGCCAGTCGAATGGTGACAGGACTTACAGCGAGTGCTTTGGCTGAATCTCCTTCTGTAAGAATCAGGGTACATTCCTGTGAGTTCCTCCCACCAGCATCGTTGGCGTCGTCCAATTTGGTGATTCCAGTGATTCTCTGGCGCTTGGCACCATCCGTCTTTTTCAGGTCTTTGCTTTGTTTGAACTCTGCCCAGGTGAGTACATTCTCCACGATGCCACATTTCGCAACTGCAGGAGGAGAAGAAGCCCCAAGTCTTGTTAGTCGACTCTTTGAGTCTCTCTTGCTTTGACAAGACTGACAGCCCGTATATCTATCCCAAGTTGCAAGCCAATAAGTTCGGGCGAGCGAAATGTTTGCTTCAAACACAACCTCACAGCGATCGCTCACCTTTCTTCAGGAACTCAGGGGAGAGTTCGCATTTAGAACCAAAACTGCTTTGACGAGTTGTCAACGTCTCTTTGGTTTGAGAGTCGAATGCCGGATTGTCAATAAGAGCGTTGACAAATATCCAGATGTGACTCTTGATTTGAAAGGGCTTCACCGAAGCAGTCTTGTTCTTCTTGTTCACAATTGCCAGCAAGTTGTTGACAACTTGATCTGCGACATACGTCACGTGTGATCCACCCTTGATTGTCGCAATGCTGTTCACAAAACTCACCTACAACAATCAACGCGAGTCAATCAGTAACTGATGACAACAGAGCTCATTTTCTTTTGGGACTCGTTTTTTGTAACTCGAGATGAAATTGTCCAAAGCTTCAAGAACAAACATCGTCAGATTCCTTACCTGCTGAAATTGACCGTCGCTCAGAGTAACTACAATCTCCCATCGGTCATTGACTTTTTCGTACAGCCTGTGAAGAAGTTTGAGTCCTCATGTCAGAAACAAAGCGAAACAAAGCTCTTAAACAACGACATTGGCAATTGAAATACACACTGAAAGTCGTAAAAAGTCGCAATTTTCTCTAGTGAGCAAAACATCTGAATTACATTCGGATAGCTTACTTGGGCAGTGGCTCGTCCCTGCCAGCATTCGTAGCAGCCGCTGACAAGTACATCGAGACGTAATCACTGAAGGACTTAATGGGCAAACGTTGACCATTCAATTCAACCTTCACAGTCTTTCCGAGACACCCCGCTATATCCAGTACTCTTTTACTCATCAAGGCAACGACGTCCTCCTCCAGGTACGACATGTTGAATTTTGGCAGATCAGGCTTAAAGGTCACCTTCGTCCAGCTCTCACTAGCCTTGCACTTGGTGATAGTGGGCTCTCCCTTCACTCCCATGTTATTTTGAAATACCTGCGGGAATCGCGCTGAGACATTTAGAATGCAAGCTGTGGAAATTCGCCAGAAAATATCTCCGGATCGACAATCGCAAGATGCACTTCGTATAGCACCCGACTACATGGAGCAAGAGAAACAGAGAGGAATTTGTATCCACCTGCTTGTACCGGCGTAGGCGGTTCCCATCTGCTGTCTCGATTGTAAATTCGGTGGAAAAGATGTTGGCAAGCTTGGCACCGTAACCATTCCGTCCTCCGGTGGTTTTCTTCTCAGAGTCATCATAGTTGCTGCTAGTGAGCAGGTGTCCAAAAATCATCTCTGGAACGTACACCCCCTCCTCTGCGTGAATTTCGACGGGCACACCCGCACCATTGTTGAACACTGAGATTGTGTTCTCTGCAACATTGATCTCAACCTTTACAGAGTCCATTGTGGGATCCCGCTGCTTGTTATCAGCTGCATTCACCAAGATCTCATCGAAGATTTTGTACAGCCCAGGAACATAACTTACTTCCCGCTGCACCATCTTTCCACCCTCGTAGACCCACAGGGTCTGTTTGTGTTTCTCAATTGAACCGACGTAGGTGTCGGGCCGCAGAAGGATGTGCTCCAATTGTGTCTTCTTTTGATACATCTCTTCGATGGTTTTACCCTGTCGACCGGCCTCGACATTGGCGCCAGAGCTCGACTGCAGTGGTTTCGGAGCTGCAGCGGCCTTCGACAATCCCTTGGCACCTGCCTTCGGCTTAGGACCCTGGCACGCCACATTTGACCACCTTGAACTCAGGAATTCGGCACACGCGAACGGAGAGCACCGAGAATCGAAAAGCTCATGTAACAATCACCTCGGAAACTATCGGAGGATTGAATGCATAGAACCACCGATCAGTCAACCAAAAAAAAAAAACTCACCCTCTTCAGAGGCCCGACATTCTCTTGATCGACCATCATCTCCTCCATCTTCTGCTCGTCCTAAACTGAGAAGGGCCTTCGAGCTACACCGACGTCAGCTTCCAGCACTCCGCTCGATGAACACGTCTCCGAAGGCAATCAACTCCGTCCCGAAACTCAAAAGACGCAACGACGAAATGTCGTCGCGCTATGTGGGCAGCAGGGGAGGCGAAAAAGGGCGGGACGAGGATGAGGGCGGAATCGACAGACGGCGAGGGAGTGTGCTATCGTGAGAAGTGGCAATTCGAGAAGGAAGCTACTTACCGTAGTCGAGCACCAGAACCAGCAGCTAAGCTTCTAAGCTTCAGCGTGCATCGAATCGGACTCTACGAGACAGCGAGAGATGCGAGAAGAGGTGGAAGAGAAAGACGCCGCGACCGACGAGCTCACCGCCGAAATCGTCGAAGGGCTGGACCTTCGACATTCGTACTCATCGAGTCGTCCGTCCGCGCGTGATTTTTAAAATTTGAATCCTCCGTAGATCCCCAGATGATTGGAATCGATCGCATCCGTCGATTTTGATGTTACCGTTGGCAACTCTCTGCACGCTCCGGACGTCTGGCTGCGTGCGTCCTGTAGCCCTCTGTTACGGAACGAGACTCCCCGTTTCCCGTTTCCGAACGAGACCGATATACTGTGTTCATCAGAAGTAACTCTGAAAATATCATTTACTAGAAGAAATTCTTCTAACATGTAGGAATAATCCTAATTCATGAATATTTGCATGATTTATTCATTAATGTCTTAAGAATATTGTAAATTCTAACATGTATGAAAATCCAATAATTAAAAAATGAAAAGATTTTAAAATAATATCAATGAAAATATCAAAATTTTCATCTTTATAGTTTAGTTCAGTTTATTTGCTTCATTATAGTGAAAGAACTTTCGATTCATTTATTTTTTAATAATAATCTGATAAACACATAATCTTCTAACCTAAATGATAAACAGTGCATGATAACAAAGAAAGTGCACTCCAAATATTTATTTACGATAATGTGTATTACTTAAAAATTTAATTAGCTGAAATTTATGACATTGTATGATTCACTATATTCTTCCGAAATATTATTTACTTATTTATATGAAAGAAAAACAAAGATTCTGCCTTGTGAATTATGACATTTGTAATAGTGTTTGGAATAATCATTCACTCCGTTGATTATTTTTAAACATTGAATACTAGTTCTTCATAATTAAGAATTGAAAGTGCAATTGCAAAGAGTATTTCTTCCACTCATTCCTTCCAAAAATTTCTTTTAAATTTTATACTATTACAAGCTTGAATTGAAATTCATTATGATTGATTGAAAAAATTGACCATCCATTACACAAGAAATACCTCCTCACATATCTTGGATGTTCACATCTTGAGATCTCACTAAACGAAAATTGAGATGACATCCATAATGAATAATATATAGTCAGAAAATTGTAGTAGTGGAAAAAAAATTCTGTTAAAATGCTCATCATCAGTATTCTGCATGATTATGTTAAAGTTTATTATTACTAATTAAAGATTACATTTATTATAAATCTAAAATCATCGTGATTGTTCTCTCAATCAATTCAGTTAGATTGAACCTATGAGCAGATTATCTTGTGTACTGCGTTATTTATGAATGACTATAAAGTTGAAAAACATGTAAACTTCTTTGTTAAAATAAAGTCTTGAACACTCGTATGTAAATACATTTTTCTAATACATTTTTAACTCAAGTATTCCAACACATGATAGTTAAGTGATATTTTTGAATCTTTTTCAACATGTAACTGAAAATATTGATACAACACATGAACTTTAACTGATATTTTTTAATTTTTTTACAAAAATAAACTTTAAAAAATGATGAACAATGCTGTGATATTACTATTTATCATCTTAATGATGATGCATGCATAAATAAAAAATGTTTGATTTCTTACTTGAGATTTTTCAAAAAAATAATTCTTATATATATATATATATACACTTATATGTATTTCATTATAGTTCAATTATGATGAGGGAATACATACGTTTGGAATTTAATATCAAGAAGTCGTTGGACAGGTTATATGTTAAGACACTACACTAACTCAACACTAGTGATCGCGAGAATTGATGACTTTTTTATACGTTGAGACATTTTTGTCCATGGCGCAAAGCTTTGCAAATTGGAAATCAATTTTGTCTATATTAGACTAAGATCAAATATGGTGAAGACAACTTCTGTTGAATGATAAGGGAATTTATATCACGACCTTTTAGCTTCATTAGTTCAAAATGATGTACTAGTAGAAAGTTGAGTTTGCTCCGGGAGCCGTGTTCATCTCACATTGCTCGCAATCCATATATCCATTAACAATGTCAAAAATAAAGAACTCAACATTATAAAGAAATAAAAATTGAGTTAGTTTGATGAAACTGTGGATTGTCATCAAAGCGAAATGATCAAGATCTTCAATGAAACCTATGATATCAATGTAGGAAGCCAACCAATCGTTGCGAATGACATGTCCAGATTGTCAACGTTGTAGTTACAAGATGCACTGATAGTGAGCATTAACTTTACAATCAGTTGTTGAACATTTATTTGTTGTTAGTTGAGCATTCGACAATGACCTCAGAGTCTCATCACCATACTATATATGGCACTTTTGATGCTTCTTTTGACAACATTTAGATCACATCATACATTATTTTCATATTGAGATGCATTCTTAGAGTCTCATCACCTTACTATATATGGCACTCGTGATGCTTCTTTTGACAACATTTAGATACTACCATACATTATTTTCATATTGAGATGCATTGATCTCGTGACGATGATCATCGAGCCATCTTGTGGCACTGAACATAACGTGACATCAACCCAAAGATGTCTTGGAACAAGTTGATTTTATTTTGCAAATAAGCGTCTGCTGTCATGTAGATGCAAAATCATAGATAACAGTGTCAAATACCATGCATCTCCATCGAGCGTTAGGTTTGACTCTTATAGCAAAATGTCAAATTGATGAAAAAGACATCACACACGAATAAACAATTCATGTGAACACTATTGTAGCCGCGTGATAACATCATCAACATGAATTGTCATGTTTTAGACTCTATCAGATGGTAAACCAATCAATTGGTTCCTTCATTTAGTAAAGAGTACGTCAAATATTTTACACATGATTTCAAACTGTGACAAATTAGCATGGGAATCGTAAAACAAGATTGTAGAGTTGATTGTAGATTGTAAATTGTAGAACTGGCGAGGTCAAACAAAACGAACGCAAATATCGATGTATGAGATACCCATGCATGTGGAGTTATCTAGTGTTGGTTTTTTTCCAAAAGTTCCACATCATGAAGAGTATGTTAACAATGATTTGGAATTCGGCATTGCATTGGATGCATATGAATGTTATGATGTTCAAATTATTTATTCCACCGAGCTTGGAGACTATTGCAACTTCTTTTATTGTTGTAACACTAGGATTGAAAGACAAGGTCAAGTCAAGATGAAACATAAACTTTGAAGATGAGATACCTTGAATGATTCTACTATTTTTTATATAGATATCACAAACACAAAGATAAGGTTGTTTTACCATCATTTCATCCGCTCTTAGTGGATTGGTGACATGACAGATACATCTAATGAGCATAGGGATTGTTGACGTGTCGCTCTCAATCAACATAGCAACTAGCACATTCAATCTTTATTCCACAAGTACACGAATTGATGACGTGTCGCTCCCAACTAACACACACATTACTAACATGATATTATAGATATTCATTGTCATCTATTTTACTCAATGTAGAGTAAACTTTATTTTAATTCCAACTAACTAAAGATGGGTACAGTTGTCTGCAGCACTAACGTAGTCTGCCGGAGACTGATACTAATGCCAACATATTTGATTGCAATGTGATATGCCATTGTGGTCTTGATCATTACAAAATGGTTACCGTGTCAGGATTTAACATGAACACGAGCATTACGTTATCGTAGATTTGTTCTTCAAAATCTTGGGAATTCCATGATACATCTTTGATTATGACGTCAATGATGGCCTTAGTATAGGTCACATGGTTTGTGTATGGACTGAGATGTGACAGAATGATGTTCATGAAATACACCTCAATGTCAAAGTAAATCAGCTTACTTTCTTTGAAAATTACATGATGTTGCTACCAACGGAATAGATGCTTGCTCTTGAGATGAATGCTATAGCTTTCGAGACAGGTGTTGGAACAAACTTGTTCTTGATGGTCATTTTAGATCGTTCGTATCGACTTTGCATTCACAACCAAATGCGATATAAAATCTGCATGCAACACCAATGACATGACTTATGTCGGCATCTCTTTCTGAAATTTGAAAACCAGAATTCTGTTGATGCAATGAGTTTAACGATGTAACCTGTTCAAACGTTTTCCAATTCCAGACATTTGCAAAGTTGACATTGTGAACTACTCCGCCAATCACTTTTTAGATTAGTCAATCCCGAAGTATGAGAATAGTCAAATAAGGCATTTATTTTTAGAGTGACTAATCTGTAAAGCTCTAATTATAACCTCTATTTTGAGTACAAGTCTATAAGTTACCAAGTTTTATGTAGATTGACTTAAGTGAATTTCTAATATTGCGTCATGAAGAGATTAGTACTATGAAATCAATATGAACATAAAAAATCAAATTTGCCACTCGGAAATATTATATTTAAATCGGAAAAAACAAATTAACTAGGATTGTTACATTATATGAAGACATAGCATAACACTTTTGGGCGACTTTGAACTAATATTCAAATGATAAAAGTACACAAAAGATACATGCACTAAATTTGGAAGTTCTTCACTTATTTTCTCATTCGAAAATATATTTTTAAGTAGGTCAGGTGAAATATGTGTTTGTTTTGATAATTACTGATCCCAAACGTTTTTTTCAACAAATCTAATAATTCGAATAAATGATATTATATATTCATTTTGACTAGCTACAGAGATAGTTTGGTATAAGAATTCAATAAATATCCAACGATAACGATGTTGATTTTCTATGTGACAGTTATGGGATGAAATCACAATACTCAAAACAAGATATTTCTTAAGTTAGACCACTATAGTACTGTACTTGTAACGATAGTTGCCATCATAACTTATTTATTTTAAACTTAGTCATCGAAGTCGCTTGCCCGAAGGTCTTCGGGACGCCACCGTGGAGCTCGTCGTGCGACATCAGCAGGACGCTGAAGATTTGGGAATATCTCGAGGAGCCAAGGCCTGCGATATGATCGAGGAGATGCCCCTGTTCAGATTCAGCCGTGGGCAGTCATCACTCTGTCGAATCTAAGAACCTACATTCACATTGATTTTTCTTTTGACGTTCTCTTCTAAGCAAAATATTTGTGGCGACCTGGTACACGATTATGCTTACGCCCACTAACTGTCCAGAGAGACCGAAGAAGTTTGTCAATTTTGTACCGGATAAATGCGATGATTCCGATATTAAAATCAGAAATGATATTTGAAGCCTTGTTGGAGATGTCAATGAGCTCACCATCCAGAGAATCGATGATAGTGAGCTCCACTGATTTTGGATTGTTGCCCTTGTGTTTGGCTCTCACGCACAAAACATTAATCTTCTGGCCACAGTTGCTCCCTTCCTTCTTGTTCTCGAGCAGAGGTGTTCGAAATCCCACCTACATGCACCGATTCGCTATCTCTCTGAAAGCTGATGTACGGTTTCTGAAAATGGATCATAAAGCAAAGTGCAAGAATCGCGACTATTCCACATCTGCCTGCGATAACTCTATTCTAGACAATTAGAGTGCTGAAGAAGGAACGTGTTGAGTCGAGCTCAACGTGTTTGATTGACTTCCTTCGGAAAAGTTTGACGCTTGATCAATCTAAGATGAGCTTGATCATGCAAAGAAGCTCACCAACTCGCCTGCCATCCCTGTATGAAGCTATCGCCCTCACACCCTTTCGAGGTTATTACCACGAAATCCGTCAGACATGCAACATAATCCTCCTGAGCTTGCATTGAGTTTTTCGACTAAGGATGGAATGGGATGCTTGCTGGTGGGAACAAGTCGACTCCAGAAAGATGAAGCTGCTTCGAGTGGATCCGGGGAACTTCTAGCAAGCCGAATGTGGATTCTGTCACAACACTTGGAGAATTTTTAGCGCCATGTGTTTCACAAATCTGAGCAGAAATGTAGACACGAATATCGTATTCGTCAGGATATAGTATGTCATGCTTGACAAAGGAATGAATAGCCGCAGCCGCGTGCTTATAAAAGTGCAAGTCCGATGCAACCATGAAGTTGTTACGGCGCATAGCGGAAAGCACATTGAACTTAATCCTTACGAAGTGCAGAAGATCATAAGTCACTTGTACGAATTGTGATGTCTTGTCTCTACTTCTGTTGAGAATCTGTAAGACGCCACAGGTAAGAAGACCATGGCAGCCCTGACAGCATCGATTGCACTAGTTCTCAGGATAACGTTTGCTTTACAATCTACGCAGCGAAGGAGGCATTCTCAGTCGGTTCATCAATTCTTTGGTCTCATGGCTGGACTTGGCAGTCTTGCGTGTTCTCGATTCAGACGGGTCATATCCGCAAGTAATTGTTTGAGTTCCACTCAAACAGGTTTCACAGCGAGTGAAATCACTCTCCTCTAGCGCGTCTATGCTCTCTTCATGTGTGCATCACAAAATCCATAACTATAACAAATATTGTATGAGTGTGAAAGATTCAGACAAGGAACGAAGTAAACGATAGTTGACTCGCGAACTTTGTTTAAACGTGATGTCAGAGGAAAACAATCTGGTCAAAAGCCCGGTGTTAATCGGACTGGCCTAAATGTTTGTGTCTGGGTCTTCAACTCAGATCAAATTTCGGATACTCCGACGCATTGGAACCTAAGCATTTCAGTTTGAGAGTTCCCAGCGAGCTTCATGCGCATCCTGCTCGAAACTCCTCTGGTCCGGTTTCCTTCTTCGCAGGTTCGCTGTATAATTCACTGCGTGGCTTACTGGGTTGTCTAATTTAAAATAGATATCATTTAGCAGGGCGTTGCAGAAATGAGAATAAGAAAATGCTGATACCGTCAATTTTGCATGCTTTTACGTCACGAATCTGAATACGATTTACGAAATCCTCAAATTCGTAGGATGATGTACCTCTTGCGTATGCAGTGGAACTGGCTCAACTGGAGACGGTTGCAAATGAGGTATCATGTAAAGAACACCTTTTCAGAGTCAGAGACAACGCGAATTCAATGTGGATTGAAGAAATTCGAGAGATTTTCCGCTCTATGGGTAATGGAAGCACATCAGCTTTCCCTAAACCCTGCCTTTCTTTGGAAAATACAAAGCTGCAAGGGAGAAGAAGCTCCGGATGTCAGTGAGTTGACGTCGCTTTCAGATTTCCCGAAAAGTCATTGATATGGTCATCTTGTGAAATCTAAAAGCCCAGTGAAGTTTGTCTGCGCTTGAGCGGCATATTGTGAAGGCTTCCCTTACAGCCTTTGTCACATAATAGACTAGCGGCAGTCATTACAGTTCCAGCAGGAGGATGGAAGTCTTCTGGCGTCACCAGCGTCAGTTTGAGCATGCAGGCGCTTCTTCTCTCTAATACCTTGAATCATATCTCGATTTCCACTTCTGCTTGAAAGCTGTAGTGTCACATCTGCTTCGATCCCTCCAACAGATTAAAGACGTTCTTCCTAACGAGCTTTGGACATCCTGGCGTGCAGCTCCTTCACAATATCCTCTGGCCATATCTGAACGCTCGTGGGTGGTTGATAGACTTGAGCGCCTTGGAAATGCTCGGCACTTCCAATCGAAGATCAGCACCTGTTTTCTTGACTATTCTTGCAGGTGCGGGCCGTGTTTTCTCCATCTTACGTACCGTCGATAACGCTTTCTGCTGTTAGTGTTCGTTGGTTCAACGAAATTGGTCATATCATCATCAGGTACATGTGGATTTAGCAGCTGCAAGCAACGAAGAATCAAATACAAACAGGCTTAGGTCTATGTGTGCACTTGCAGACACTCAACTCGCAGTTTCCACGGGATGTCTTGTCTTGGTCCGGCGTATGCATGGTCATGGACCTGGATGATTCCGCCATGACCTTTCGTCTGCTTCGCCTGCATGATTATGATGTAGAGCAGCAGAACCCCGGTAAGAGCAGCTCACCCTCTTAGGATGACTAGCTGGCCTCCGACCAACCGCGAACCTCATGTTATAGAATCCTTATATATTAGCATGGCACACTCGTGATTCAACGCAGGGTGACGAAATGTGCGCTTAAAATAGAGATTTGTGTACTTGATGGGGAACTGGACAAACAACGAATTGGACGATTTGTAGTATCAGGAAATCATTGGTCCAGATTCACTCGAAGGAGAAAATTAGAGACGTTGGGCGTTGAAGAGGAGTTTAGACGTTTGGAAAAAGAGGGAGGGAATAGATTCAGCGCAGGGAGACGAAATGACTAGATTTGTCATAAAAAGTCATAAACTTGTAGTTCACAATTCCTGCCAGTTATATTTCTAACTCATCTCATTTCAGATTGCTTGAAGTCGTTGAGAAATACAAAGGGGATTGGCAGACCTTCGCTGCGGAGGTGAACCAAGCTCTCACGTCCACTTTCAGTATGTACCGAGCTGGGCAAACTTGCTACTCGGGCGAATTCATACTGATGGAAGGGGCCGAATGGGCCAGGGAATTTCTGGTTGAGAAGTCCAACAAACAAGGGCCCAATTATCATGATAAATGGGCGATTGGAAAGGATATCGCTGGAGAGGTAGCCTGATTAACTTTTGTTGATTGTATGCAAAGTTTGGTTCCAAGAAGATCAGAGGAAATTTAAGGATATTCTTTTGAAGAAGCTGATTTTGAATATGAACTTGAGTACAGGTGGATTCCGAACTTGATGATAGCAACGAGCAGGAAGGCGCATGATTTATCTTAGGGACTGTATAGAACAGTGAATGATATCTTTACAGATGGGAGCTTATAACAAGGTCGTGGTATCAGCCATCATATACACGACACAGTAAGCTCGAGAAGCATATCCACACACTCCATGTTTCTGACTTTCTAGTTTCGGCTGCACTTGGACTTAAATTCTTGTACGTGCACCGTCAAATCTAAAGAATTCTAGCATTACTGGAACAGATGAATATATTTGCAAGTATACAAGGCTTAACACGCACTAGCTCTGTCTAGGACGAAGCGAGAGGAGTCAGATTTTCTTCAGGTTCTTCAGAAATTTTTTGTTTTCCTCGATAACTTGAAGGAACTTGATTAAACACAAGCTCAGAACTACGAACTGAATCATTCTTATGAAAATTATGGCCTAAGTGCTTTTGAGCTTTGATGCATGACCAGCGAATGAGGCTCTTGGTGAGTCACATGATTGTGCTTGATTGTACAACAACCTTCTTTACACTCGTTAGAGTTGTAATCTTCCCTAGTTTTGATTTTGTTGCAACGGGTTGGAAAACTGAATGCAAAATATAAAAGAACTTCAACAAGAGTTGTTTAAATTTCACCATGTAATTGCAGAGATGAATGATTTTTATGGGGATCACTTGAATCTATCTACTACATTGTCATCTTGGGACAAATACGTCTTATTAATTTATTTGCTAATTCTCATCAAAGGTATCAAGTTCATATGATTCAAGTGGTCTCGGTATTCTGTTGGTGAAGTCTAGACAGTAGAGTTGAGCATTCATCAAGTCAATATCCTCACACCCATTAGAACTGAGGGCAACCAGCAAAGCCGGTCCAAACTCAGTTGATGCGTAGCAGAAGGAAGACGGAGAGCTGCAAAAGGTCATCATTTTGGCCATGGCAAAGCTCCGACCACTGTCCATAATGGACATGCAGCAGGATTCGACATATATTCGGAAATTCGTGATAAGATGCCGCGCAACCGCGCCTTTCAAAGTGAGTAGGAAGTAGCTTATGCATATGCCAATTGCACCTAATAATCATTTCATAGTATTTGTTGAATGAGTTTTCTGCGTGTCCTTGCCTTTAATAATCATACTCTCATCTGCAAATAAAGATGAGAACAAGATCTGTTTGAGTGACCATGAAATTGACAAGAGTGGAGGAGATGAGTGTGGTTAGATTTCAGTGATATGGTCGAGTAGCAATCCAATCTGAATTTTCCGGAAGGAATCCACAGAAATTGAGCAAAAGCTGTGCACGTTAAAGCCTGTACTTCAGTATCCTGACAACAAGACTAGCAAGTTTCCATTCTAAAACACACAATATCCAATTTGTTGCTCGTCAATGAAGTCGTATACATGTTCCAGTCTTGTTACTTCGCAGCACATTACTCTCAAGAGTATAAGAAAGTTCCAGGACCAGCTCAACCACAGTCTATGCGAGCGATCCCTACGTATTGCAGATTGACAGGGCACAGAGAAATAAAACACTCCTCGAGGAAGTTATAATAGTTGCCCGGCCAACACAAAGAAGATTTTCTCTGATTGGAATAGCTCCCAGGCCTCAATGCATTCCAAGGGCGACGCTTTCAGTCGCTGAACTCAGGAAGCTGGGAGTGAAGTAATATTCCACTTCCAGTAGGCTAGCCCCTGTTCATCAAATGCAGAGTTCATGGTGTCAGCATAGTATGATTTCGAGATTCGACGTCTGGTTAACGAAAGTATTATCTCCAACAAATTCAGCTGAAAGTTAAGCAATTCAATAGTAAGAGCAGCTCTTTCAAAGTTACTCACAGCTGAGCGAAGAGATGGTCCAAACAAAGTTGGGCGCCACTGCGTAATACAAGTAGGTGTTGTCGATCTTAAATTGGGTCTGTGACGGCCCCTTGAAGTACCAAACAAGTATTTTCAAGTAGTACTTCGCAGCCGGAAAGGGAGCCCTGGAGTACCTGGTGATATCGCATTCAACCTGCTTGGCTCCTGAACATTTATCCACTGCCACCGTAGTATTAGACCCGGGCCTGAGAAAAAATTTAGGCGCAAGAGTGCGGCGATACGTGTCGTAAACACAAGTGCATTGTAGGAACAGCTCGTGGTCTGCATAGTTCCCAGTCAACGCGTTAATTATAGAAGAACTATTATCAGCGGCATTAGCCATCGTCGAGAGGTTCAGACATATCAAGATCGCAACCAGCCCCACGCTGCACTGGGTAAGTGATAAGCTGCTGAACCGTGCCATGGCACTCCAACTCTCCTGCAGGATACGGAACGACTTTGAGACAATCATACACGTGAGCAATAACTTACTTCTGCACTGAATATTTTCTAATGGGCAAGTTGTGACTTCTTGCAATATAAACAATATATGTGAATGAGTAAGCGCTTGAATGAGCTGAAGTAATGAAAGCTTCAAGATTCGGAAGAGAAAACCGACCTGGAAGCTCAACACACTCGTCCAACAAGATGGATTCGTATTGACGGACTCAGAGTTGTTGTGGCGGATAGTTTTGAGTCGGATCACTCCTTGGAGTCCATTTATAGTCTTCTGTTTTTCAAAAGTTGATCCATTTCCACATCTGCTTTTCACCCAGTAAAACCTGAGTAACTATCATGACCGGCAACATCAGATGACATGAATCACTACAAATCAGCCTGATTGCCACAGTAGATGCTACTAGCACGGATTTCTCGTTTCTGTAGGGCTGTTCAACTTTGAAACCTAAGTCTGGAGGTGCGACCGAATCAGGAACGTGCGAACTCATGACTGCTTTTGGGGCAAGTGAGTGCAAGGGCAGGCGTGTGTTTCTTGGATCGGTGTGGCGGACAAAGTTAGGGACCAGTAGATGTACAGCACTGCACTATTCCATATTGATTCCCGTCTATCCAGTGGTGTCATTATCACCCTCTCTTCGTTGCGTCGTAGAGGGTATAAACAGCTGCGCTCATCGCAGTAGTTCTTGAGCTATCAGAATCTGACCTCCACACAAGATCTGAAGTCCGGCATCATCCTTTGCCTTCTGCTCAGTCCAGTGATGTTAGAGGGCAGCCACATGCCACTCTAGCTTCTGCTTATTTGCACATTGCGTCCGAGGAGTGGACAGAGAGCGAGCGTATTAATCTGACATAGAGTTCAGCTGTGCTCATTGATCCAAGTGGAACAATGATTTCGTTCAGAAATTCATTCCTGTGTGCACTGCTGGGCGTTACAATGGTCGCCCAGCTAATCTCAGTGAGTGCGAGCTCCTGCAAAACATGCACTGGACATATTTTGGCCGAGTCGTTCTCGGTGAAAAACTTCCTGCCGGCCGGTGATTCTAACCTCTACATGGAATGCTCATGCGTCAGTCGATGCGGGAAGCTTACTGTCCAAGATCCCGTTGATATTAAAGAATGCCACAGTGTTGAAACCTCGACTCGTTTTTGTGGATCTACACCCGATTGGCCCCTTGGTGACTTAGATGCTTATCGTGCCGAGCAGATGCTGTGTGAATTCATTTGGACACGTCCCAATTCTGAGACAATCTACCGCACGCCTGTGATGGTCTGGACTCGTGAAGGGCCCAAGAGAACTTTCTACAAGGTCGACGCTTCCGGCTTCTGGTTTTCCAATGGCGCAGATGCCCAGTGGAACTTAATGCTCGGCTGTAAGTAAAATCGTCTACATCGCTCGAATGCCATGCAAAGAATGCTAGAAATCTACTTTTCGCTTACCAAGCTGCATTTTATATAGAATCTATTCTGATGAGTACGGGATGCAATCTGGCATCTGGCGCTAATGTAAGAAGTATGTCTTGCAGGGACGATGTCGAACTATATTTCATCGGAAGTTCCGCTCAAGGGTGCCGGAAACAGCGTATTTGAGACCTTCGGCAACGAACACTGCCGCACAAAGAATTACGCATACTAGGACGTACCACCGATGCTGTTGGTATCTGCATGAAATTGCATGCTCTACGATATTAGTACTGAGGCAAGTTAGCAGTAGGATGATTATCAGGTCCCACATGTTCTCTTTCTACGCTTCTTATCGGAATATGAGAACGTCCAGGATCAGACTCTTCAGTCTGCACTGATCTGTGATCTGTGCAACCTTGTACTTGAAGAAGGTTCAAATATAAAGCTGCTTCAGCTGTATACATTTCATCTCTCTGAATCCTAGAAATGTAATTGCTTGAATATCCAGAACACGTTCATGGATCATGATCTGTGTTGACATGTTGTCTTGAGTTCCATAAAAATGAGACAATCCAGCCGTCACACAAACTGCACTGTTCACCATCTATCTGTCGGAATGCTTTCGCACATTCACTTCAATAACATTGCATCCCGGTGGCCCGCAGATCGTGACTTATTTGATCGTTCATGCGAATTTCATGTTTCCATACAATCATGTGGAAATATGTCCCTTCTTAGATTGCAAGCCTTACACACGTCTCATCACCGGATGTAAAGCATTTGAAAAGCAGGATCCTTCATGCTTTACAAATGCTGAATTGCGTTTAGCTCATTTCAATCGAACGAGCTCATTAGCTTCCACAGGTCATATAGTTTGTGGTAATTCCAGAATCTGCGACAGAAATTATTGTATAATTGCTTCTCTAAATACTATCAGATGATGAAAAATTTCGGTATATACTGAAGGTTTAATTTATTTATCAACAAGTGATACATCCGCCCCGGAGCTTCTGAAGAGAGTATGAGAGCGTAAATTTCCTCGTTTTATGAATCCATTTGATCTTTCGTGGAATTATAGCTTGAGTTAAACTTTGAGATGAAAGTGGATCCAAAGGATCTGAGATCATATTGTGAAAGACACTATCCATCCCGTAGAGCCTTCGTTGGTTTCACATCCCTCGAGTGTTGGCCATGTAATTCTCGTTATTCGACTCGCGATACGTTTTGTGCGGTTTGAAACTCAAATCTCCCTTGTACCGTAGACCACGATCAACTCGTCTGACTCAGAATTAACCGCCAGGATTTCCATCTTCGAATCTCAATGCTCTGGTCATTTTGAGCTGGAACTTAGAATCTGATAGCTGAGAAAATTGTTGATTAGAACACAAGATATAATATAAAGATTAGTTGTTCCCATTCGTTAAATAAAATCTTGTCATGGCAGTTATTTAAGAGACAGCTCAATAAAGCCGCTACTCAACTAATTCATGAAGTTTTAGATTTTTGGAAGAAGAGTTACAAATTTTATATTGACTGTTACAGCAATAAATAACATACAATACTTTAAAAAATTTGTCCAAAAAAATATTTTGTAATCTAATAAAATTAAAAGAATAATTTTCTTTTCTTTAAAATGTCATATAGTTCAAGTTCTCATATAATTTATAAATTGATTTGGTATATATAAACACGTTACATATATTTAAATCTGATGCGTATTATCATATATATAAATAAATTATTTATGTACTAGAGTTAATGTTAAATCTATAAATGTTTCAATTTTTAGGCATGATGAAGAAAATAGATTTAAAATAATGTTTTTTCACGCAATATATTTTAAATCCAAGTCGAACAATATTATAATTATTAGTATATATCGTATCATTGAAGTTGGTATGTTTTATAACATGTGCATTTGAGCACTTCCCAACGTATGTACAATGGTATACCTAGTGATTGATTTAAATTGTGAAATTTTCATATCTACTTTCAAAAATTTAAAGTTTGGTTCAATCTTTTTCCATATTACATTATAATCTTCACAATATATATTCCATTAATGATATTTATCTTTCAGAACGGGAGGGATTAAAAGTATTGATTTTTCCAAAATATGTAAAAATGTTACGAATATGAGAACAAAAATTCTATATGATATAAGTATATACTAAATTGTGTAAAAATTTTACACTTTCCTTACAACATCTCCCATTGCCCTAAATTGAGCATAAAAAAGTCGTTTATTGGATCATAGAGCTACTTTAACCCTCATTTATTATGTGAATTATTCTCCATTATGGAAACATAGTTTGGCATTGTATTTCGCAAATCATGAGGATTTCAAAAGGCAATATTCTTAGTAAAAAGAACGGTGACATTTGGATTCATCATCAGGTAATATTCATCGATAGGGTTCTTTTGAGGTAATAGCTCCCTTTGCAAATAAAACAAAAAATAGTCTCCCATTATATGGGTCCTTGCACTCGAATTGAAGCTGATGCTATCCGGATCCAAACTGGTGACACGAGCGGATTGACATACATTGATTGACTGATTCCTTTTACTAGGAACCAATCATTGTCTCCATGATTTCGCGTAAAGGTTCGAGGAAAAAAATTCGCACATGTTGGATCTTCAAAGGATGCATAGCACGTTTCCGTCAATCATAAGGACATGATGGAGGTCAGCCAATCCATGAGTCCACTTGCCACATCTGAAAATGTGACTAGATTGACTAAGTCGGAGCGATGATCGGCAGAAACAGAAAACACCAATTCGGCTGATGGAAGATGTTTGCTGCCTCTATTCTTGTCGTAGTCTCAATCTTATCCCGTGTCCAGTTTTGGACTATCACTTGTTCAGTACTTGGAATTTTACGTTTCACGTCATTGCATTGTATGCGCTGTTAAAATCATGGCAGTAAGATCATGCACAGAGAAAACAATCTCGTTGTAGAAACATATCAATTTGTCAGATGCTTAAAAGCCACGAATGACCAGGGAGTAATGCATAAAGTCGTTAACGCATATTCTCTTCGATGCCCACCTCATAGATTCCACAGAAATCGGCCAAAAGATGTGCAGGGGACTAGAACCTACTCCACGAAGTACCTTCAACTGAAGTTTAAGGTGACTGGTCTTCCTTATCTCGAGTAGCGTCTGCGGAAATTAAAACGCCAAAAATCTCCGTGAAACAAGGCCACGGACTGCACATGCATGTCAAGGGCAGACGGTGATCTGTTTGCTGGTCCGAGGAACTGCAGGACATGCCTTTATAAACTGAGGATCGATGACGAGAACTAGCGCTTGAACTCTGATTTCGAATCGCGGAAGTGGCTCACTCTGATTCTTCCCTTGCAGGCAATTCTGCTAAGTTATCATAGGCCGTCTGCTTGCATACACTGTAAGTTGGAAGCTTGCTTCGTAAGCCGTTCTATTCTCCCCAATGGCGAGAGCATATGTTCCAGTGATATGTGTCGTCCTTCTGCAACTGGTGATGGTGTCCTATGCTGCAGCGGCCGATAGCAAGACCTTCACCATCATGAACTATTTACCGAAGGATGATTTCATCATCATCCGCTGCGATTGCCTGGACTCCAATGATATTGTCACCGTGCTCAGCGACACCATCGGTGAGTGTGAAGACAAGGAGTTCCAAGCTAGCACCTGCCCCAACGGTGCGTCGGCCAAGGGCTTCTTCTGCAAGTTCCTGTACTACAGACGATCGGGCGTGACTATCAAACAGCAATACACAAATATCAAGGTCTGGGCAAGCACAGGGCCTGCCAGCACTTACTTCAAGCTCGACACCAATGGTGTCTATGGATCGACCCAGTCTGAGAATGTCGGAGCCGCCGCGAACATTCTTAGTGGCTGTAAGTTATTTTATTCAACTCCCTTTTATTCAATTCCCTTGCCTTCTACAATGTCTGTATACAACCACTGTAGTTCCGATTATGCTTATCGCACTTTCCAGTAACGAGGATATTCTGTTAGACTTTGCTGTAAAAGTTTTGGGTTCTGATGACATTCTGCTCGATCAATGTGCAGGGGTCGACAAGTCGTGGGTCGTCAAGGATAATTCTCTTGGAAATGGACAGTCTTTCTGATAAACTCAGATAGCGTTTCCCAATCCCCAGCGAAAAGACTGCTAGACTTAGTCGAGATTGCGAGTGTTTGTACTGCTACTTGTACGTTCAGTATCTATATGAGCTTTCTGAGCGGCGTTGGTGAATCCAACATATAATGTTTCGATTGATCTCCAGTAAACGCATGAATTTGGATACTAGCTCAGATTGCATCAATGCGAATATGTATGAATTGTGAGCTAAGCAATGCGCTATTTGTGATAGAGTTGTGACGTCAGGAGTAAAAAGAAACTATTACAATTTTGCAAGCTTGCAAAATTTACACACACACAAAGTTCTGATAAAAATTTCAAGCTGTGCTAAGAAAACTTGAATTTTAGCACTTGTATTCATAAAATTGAAATTGTGACAATAACAATTGGAACAAGTTTCAACTATACATGCTTCGTTCACTTGAGAAGTTTCCAATGCTTATGTCATACGACGAATCTAAGTATATCTAATAGCTCTTAAACTGAAATAAGGAGGGTTTTTCATGTACTTCAAGAAGTATTTAAAAATGAATTGCTTGTACAATGTAGCTCCATCAATTAACTCAATATCTGATAAAAGATTTCATATAGAGTTTTATCAAACTTAGAATAGGTAACACATAGTCTTCTATTATTTTTTTAGAATTGTTTCAACCGGTAGCATGGAAGAATTTATAGTTACTTTAATATTTCCATCTTTCTCTATCCTCATGAATTGTAATTTTCTCTTAAGAAGATGAATTTGATATGGAAGTTTCAAGAAAAAGTATTAAAATTCTATTGTTATTATAATTGAGATATATATACCAGATTCTAAGAACGAGAATATATTCAATATGATAATGCGACTAAAATTTCTTTACCAAATAATATCTATATTTTAATTCAAATGTAGAGGATTTTTTGTTTTTATTTTTTTATCTAGTGTATTCAAACAGAAATTGTGAAATTTTGCCTCATCATCAACATTTTATGCATGTACTATCCTATAAAAATTCTTGATTTAATTTTTAAATATTCTTTTTTATTAACAATACTTGATTACATATATATATATATATATATATACTGAATCGTTTACCTATTGGATGTATGCACTTACAAATTTACATTACATAGTTTTTACTTATAACTCTACACTAAACACTGCATTTTAGCCTAAGAATGGAATCTGTATACAATCTAATTTTATGACTTCACTTAAAATGTTTTACATAAGTAATTTCATTGCATATTGAATGTTATTTGAGGTGGCTCTAACTAATGATTTGCATTCATATACAAAAATCCTTGAATATCAATCATATAGCATATGAAATAAGGTTTGAATTGGAAAATATTATTGTTATATGCAAAATGAATATAGACATTCAATGAGTATAAATCTAAGATAAAGAATTTAATGTTTGGGGCACAACAATTTTAACATTGAATCAATTGTGTCTCAATAAGAAGAAATAAATTTCCAGCAATCATCATTTTGATCTTTTGAATGAAGGAAATTATATGTGCTAGATATGTACAAGAATAGAATTGACTTAAAACTCAAAATTGTTGAAATTCAGAAAATACACTGAATCTGCACATGAAACTGTTTTGCATGGCGAAGTAATAAGTATGGATTACTTTTAAGTTTGATGAGAAAATCAAGGAAAAGTATTAAAATTATTGCTCAAATAAGATCTAACATACAATCTCCAAAGTGAAGTGCATGGACTTCACTTTGGAGATTCTATGTTAGATCTTCAGGGCATCTTCTGACATTTCAATCCGATCCCTCTGTTCTTTATTGTTTCAGTGTTCTTGCATTTCACTGGAAGAAATACGATCTATCTTTACATGCATCGTTGCAGTGGGCGTCGAGTTTTCCGACCAACAAATTTAGGATCCACAGTAATTGTTTTCCATACCTTGCAGAAGAATAACAATTGCAAGGAGCGTTGGGAAATAATGATACGTTTTTCTAAAACGTATCATAATCTTGTAGAGAGGAATCTCGTTGCACTGATCCGATCGAGGTATATAGTGCTGAAAGGTGCAACTGAATCTATCCTTGTGACGAATCACCTGCCTTCCGCAATGCGGCCCTTCAAGGAGCACACGGACAAGCAATTTCTGCTAGCATTATTTCTTTAAGCACTGAAGCCTTTATTTCTCATACTTGGCCTGGTATGTTGTAATTTTCTAATTTCTACTTCAAACGTGGTACTTATATTAATTCTAGACGTGCAATGGTCGCAAAGACTTGGACATTCGAAATTTCTTCGTTTTTATTTTTCTGCATGGAGCAACTCGTTGGTTTCTCATGAATGGCGCAGCTGCCTTTCATGAGCGTCCTCATGAACAGATCGATTGGATAGCTGCTCGAAGTTGATCTACTTTTCATCTGCTCTCAGACAGTAAGCTCAGGAATGGTGTGTGGACCTTCGTCAAGACTTCAAAGTATCAGTAAAGGCTTAGGATTGCCGGACGAGGCTGGGAAAGGGTAACTTTGATACTCGAATTCGAGTATCTCCTTTATCACGCAAGATGAAGTTGCCCGATATTGTGATATTGATGCTAAGTTGGTTCATCATTGACATTCTAAGCAACCAATAAGCGCTAAAATAGTAACGCCATCTGCGTTCATTGTTTTCTCCGTTATCGTTTTTGATCGACACAGTCACGATTTATTGATATTTTTTAGCTCAACAAGGATATGAGACAGCTTCAGGCCAAACAAAACATGTGTTTGCGTACAAAGGTTGAAAATTTGATAGGAGTCCACCAATTCACTATCCAGTTCATCCACGTGCTTTTTTAGATTCATACGAATTGATACTGAAGATGAATCTGACACGTTTGACTGGCATATAGAAAATAGCAAATCAAGATGGCGCATTGCAGTTAAAAGATAGAACATACGTATGAGCCAATGCTCAGTGTTTACTCAAGTATTTAGTGGAAGCAAATCGAAAGATCGCATGTTGGATATGCCATCGCAAGACATGAATCTCATATAGATGCTGGATGTAAATGTATCACTTCTAAACAATCAGAAACTCGACTAGCAGTCTTTTCGCTGGCGATTGGGAAACACTGTCTGAGTTTATCAGAAAGACTGCCCGTTTCCAAGAGAATTATCCTTGACGACCCACGACTTGTCGACCCCTGCACATTGATCGAGCAGAATGTCATCAGAACCCAGAGCTTTTACAGCAAAGTCTAACAGAATATCCTCGTTACTGGAAAGTGCGATAAGCATAATCGGATCTACAGTGGTTGTATACAGACATTGTAGAAGGCAAGGGAATTGAATAAAAGGGAGTTGAATAAAATAACTTACAGCCACTAAGAATGTTCGCGGCGGCTCCGACATTCTCAGACTGGGTCGATCCATAGACACCATTGGTGTCGAGCTTGAAGTAAGTGCTGGCAGGCCCTGTGCTTGCCCAGACCTTGATATTTGTGTATTGCTGTTTGATAGTCACGCCCGATCGTCTGTAGTACAGGAACTTGCAGAAGAAGCCCTTGGCCGACGCACCGTTGGGGCAGGTGCTAGCTTGGAACTCCTTGTCTTCACACTCACCGATGGTGTCGCTGAGCACGGTGACAATATCATTGGAGTCCAGGCAATCGCAGCGGATGATTATGAAGTCATCCTTCGGTAAATAGTTCATGATGGTGAAGGTCTTGCTATCGGCCGCTGCAGCATAGGACACCATCGCCAGTTGCAGAAGGACGACACATATCACTATAATGTATGATCTCGCCATTGGGAAGAGTAGAACGCGAAGAAGCAAGCTTCCAACACACAAAGTATGAACCAGAACCTCTATACGAGCATCAAATTTGTCCTGAATGGCTCTGCTGTATGGGGAGCAAGCAGGCGTGCTTTAACTAGGCAGAATCTCTTAGAAGGGAAGAAAGCGAATGAGCCACTCCACAAACCGGTGTTGGCTCTTTTCACTGATCGTCAATTGATATAGGCATCTCCTGCAACTCCTCAGACTAGTGAACAGATCATCTTCATCCCTCGACACGCATGTACTTCTAACCTCGTGTCATGTGGATTTGTCCACGTCCTGAGCGTTCTAAAATCCACGGTCTGTACTGCAGATAAGGGAGGCAGTTACTTGAGCAGACAGAGGCAGCCACTTGATGAGTTAAGGTCGAGAACCACTTGTACACTATTCGGCAACTATAGGTCAATCCTGTAGGTGGCGTGCGCATGAAAGCGAATATGCGTTTGCGACTTCACGAATTCCACCCTTGTCATTTGTGGCGAACTTTATCATCTGAGATAATCTTAAGCATGTGCAATGGGTTTTTCCCTGTGCATGATCTTACTGCCATGATTTTAACACAGTTCTGTTCATAAAGTAAAGTCAAAACATTGTTCTGAGTCAAATCTGAACATGGCGAGAGGAAGACATGGAAATTGTAATGGACAACTACTACGACAAAGATACTGGAGCATGTGTCATTTTCAATCAGCCAAAGCGCTGTTTGCAGATCATTGCTCTAACTTTCTTGTTTGGACAACAACTTGTTATTTATAGAAAGTAGGATCCAACTTCCACGATTTTAGCAAAGTTGTGCGCAGATAATAAAGTGATATGCAGTGTATGATGCACTCAAAGATCGATGATTCGAAATCGAACTCAGTACGAGACTGAGTACAGGACAGCAACTATAGGGGCATGCGTCATCTTGCACCAGCTTCAGTGTACTATTTTGTTTCTGCCTATCATCGCTCCAACCTCCTGAACATAGTCAACTTTTGAGATATGGCAAGCAGACTGATGGATTGGCTAAAGCTCATCATGTCACAATCATTGATGAAACATCTTTGCTGACTCGAACATGAAGTCCTCCAGCTTGAAGATTACATATTATCCCCAAACTTGAACCCCCCCCCCCACTTTGAGATGGAATAATCGAAAAAGCCATTCATTATATATTCTGACTCAAACTGTAACGCGACTTGACTCAAAAGATCGAATTTTCCCAGCATGAGCGAACAATTCTCCTAGATCCTTTAACAATACGCTTGGATCATTAAAGTCGGGTGGAGACTGATATGCATCTGCGAACAGTTCTCTTAGAGACTTCAACAGCACGCATGCAACCTTTGAATCTGGTAAAGACAAATATGCGAAAGAGATGCATAAGTCCAATGAATGGTTGGGGAACAAGGAAGAGCTTAGGAGATAACTTTTTGGTTGTTAATTGTTGGTTGATGGTTAATTTTGGTATCTTCAAAACTCAGTTATATATGTCAGTTTTGAAAGTTCGATGGAGTTCTCATTTTGTTTTACAAGATCGAGATATTCTTTCTGCATAAAACATAAAAGCTGTGAGTCTTAAGTAACTAACTGAGAATAAGTCACAAGTTCAAAGACTGATAATTCTCTAAACTGCAATAATCTTCTTCTTAAATGAGTTTCTTGGTTTGAAGAAGTGGATCGTTTAAGTATATTTAAGTTACAAACTTAGAAAGTCAAGATGGGATTGTTGAATCTCATACAACAAATATAGAAATACATAGGTTCATCAAGCAGCAGTTAAACGTGTAGTCTTTCGAATTACTGCCATGACAAACATGATATTCAATAGGAGACAGTATGATGAGAAAATTAGCAAAAGATATTGAGTTTTTATATATTTTTCTGAAAGTTTTTCATCGGAGAGAATATTGGAACAAACAGATAATCTCACGTCCTCTAAACTAGTTTTGTAGACGGAAATTTAAATGGGAACTTGTTTATTTAACGAGATTATCGTCTCTGATGTACAAGGGGGATTTTAGAAGCAAGACCACACATTTTTGATCGCAAGTCCTATACTGAGAGTAAGTTGGCATTACTAGAGGGATTGAAAGGGCTTCCGAGCTCAAACAAAAACTCCATTTGGATGTACAGTCTGTATTAAAAAAGATCTCAGATCCTTTGAATCGACTTCAAATTTCAAATTTTAATCAATATTTATTACTCCCCACGATCCAGGCATCTATAATATTATGAAAGATCGAATGGTTCAATGATTTGGAAAAAAACTATTCCCTCATACTCTCTTGAGTAGCTGCTAGGCAGAGTTATCACTTGTTCGAGCTTCTCAGATAAGTGAGGGAACGTACTCTGAACTTCCCGGTCTTCGTCATGCGGTTCTATATTGACTGCTTTGGTTCCTGTAGAAGTAGACACGATCGTGCTATCTGTATCCCGGTCATGAGATTTCATTAAGCCTTGTACGTACAGGAGAAGAGGTACGTCCACAGGATTCCACGGATGCTTTATTTTCGTATGATCGATCAATTTAGTGACGACACTGACGACACTGCCCACCAACATGACCAAAAAATTGAACTGGATGAGCAAAAGCCTTCCCACATACAGGGAAGGGTGCAGTTTGAGTGAAGGCTAGATTTGTCTGATTTGTGCGGAATTCAAGACATCTTAACACCTCTGATAACGAAGGAATTGATATGTTGTGATATTCAAGCAAGTACGCATTGCATTTCCAGGAATCACAGGGATTAGATGTATACAGCAGAGGCAGCTGTGATATTTCAACCGTTTTCAAGTACAAGGGGTTCCAGATCAGTGCAGACTGCAGAGACTGAAACTGGACGATATCATCATCCAACAAGATGTGTTGATAGACAACATGTGGGACCTGATCATGGTCCTACTGCTAACTTGCCTCGGTGCTGTCATCCTAAAACAGGCGATTAGCTACAGATACGAGCAGCACCGATGGCTCTAGCATACATGGTCCTATCTGCGGCAGTGCTCGTTGCCGAAGGTCTCAAATACGCTATTTCCTGCACCCTTCAGCGGAACTTCCGATGAAATATAGTTCGACCGCGTCCCTGCAAGACATAATTCATAGATTAGCGCCAGATGTCAGACTGCATTGCGTACTCATCGCAAAGTTTCTATCAACAATGCTGCTTGCTAAATGAAATGTAGATTTCTAGCATTCTTTGCATGGCATTCGAGCGATGTAGATGATTTTACTTACAACCGAGCATTAAATTCCACTGGGCATCTGCGCCATTGGAAAACCAGAAGCCGGAAGCGTCGACCTTGTAGAAAGTTCTCTTGGGCCCTTCACGAGTCCAGACCATCACAGGCGTGCGGTAGATTGTTTCAGAATTGGGACGTGTCCAAATGAATTCACAAAGCATCTGCTCGGTGCGGTAAGCATCCAACTGAGATTCGTCATATTCCTCATATTCGGGTGTAGGTCCACAAAATCGAGTCGAGGTTTCAACACTGTGACATTCTTTGATATCAACGGGAGCTTTGACAGTGAGCTTCCCGCATCGACTAAGGCATGAACATTCCATGTAGAGGTTGGAATCACCGTCTGGCAGGAAGTTTTTCACCGAGAATGACTCACTCATAATACTTCCAGTGCACGTTCTGCAGGAGTTGTCACAGCCTGAGATCAGTTGGGCCACCATTGTAGCGCCCAGAAGTGCACAAAGGCATACATTCCTGAACGAAATCATCGTTTCCCTTGGAATCAATGAGCACACCTGAGCACAAAAGATGAAGTCGCAATTGAAATCTGGTGTGGAGGTCAAAGTCTGAAAGCTCATGAACTGCTTTGTCTGGCGCAGCTGTTTATATTATCTACTAGGCAACGAAGCCAGTTCAATAATCCTTGTGATATGACACCTCTGGCAATACTGGATAGACGGGAATCTCGGTGGAATAGTGCGGAGCTGTAGACGTACTGACCCCTAAGCTTGTCCGGTACACCGCTCCAAGAAACACACGCATGCCCATGCACCCATGTGGCCCAATAGCAATGTAGAAATAGCACGTCCTCCCTCGGTCCCACCTCCAGACTAAGTCTTGAACTTTGAACAGCGCTGTGGAAACGAGAAATCCGTGCTAGTGGCAAGTCTTAAGTGTCACTGTAGACGTCAAGCTGATTTGTTGATGTCAGTAATGTCATCTGATGTTACCCCTCATGAGAATTACTCAGGTTATCATTGGTGAAATGTGGATGTGAAAATGCTTCAAGCTACTCTTTGAAGGAGGCAGAAGACTATAAATCGACCCGAGGAATGATCAGTCTTAAAACTATCTGTCACAACAACTCTGAATCTGTCCCCCGATCCATCTTGTTGGTCAAGTCTCTTAAGCGTCCAGGTCGATCTCTTCTTCCGAGTCTTCGAGCTTTCATTCCTTCAGCTCATTCAAGAACTTACACATTCGCAGATTTTGTTTGTATTGGAAGCAGCCACCACTAGTCCATTATAAATTTCCAGTTCAGAACAAAGGTACTGTTCACCATGTCTGATTATCTCAAGCTCGTTCTGTTTCATGCAGGAGAGTTTGAGTGCCATGGCACGGTTCAGAACTAGCAGCGTTGTGCTGGCTACGATCGCTATATGGCTGAGCCTCTCGATGGTGGCCAGTGCCGCTGAGAATCGTAGTTCCATTCTGAACGCGTTGACTGGCAGTTTTGCGGACCACGAGGTGTTCGTACAATGCACCTGTGTTTACGACACATATCGCCGCACTTTTACGCCTAAATTTCTTCTGAAGCCCGGGGCTAATACTTCGGTGGAGGTGGATCGCTGCCCAGGAGTCAAGCAGGTTGAATGCGATGTCACCAGGTACTCCAGGCTTCCGTTGGCTCAGGAGAAGTACTACATGAAACTGCTCGTTTGGTACTTCAAGGGGCCATCTCAGACCAAATTCAGATTCGACAACAGCGTGTTCTATTACGCCGTGGCTCCCGACTTCAATTGGGTCAATTCTGGGCTCGTCTGTGAGTAACTCTGAAAGAGCTGGTCATACAATTCGCTTGCGTTCATCTCAGCGGCATTTGTTGGACACGGATTCTTCTTTTTCTACCGTAAAATCTCGTAATCATATGCCTCTGACTCCAATAACTCTTGTGTGATTTTCAGGGAGTATGGACGTGGAATACTACTTCACTCCAAAGTTCCTAAGTCCGGCATCTGAAAACGTTTTATCGAAGGAAATCTAGCCTTCCGTCCTAAAGGAATGAGGACTGAGGATTGGGAGCTATTGCGTTCTACATCTTTGTAGAGATCATATCCTACTTATTGGCCGGGCGATGGTGACACCTTACTCGAGCAGTGTTTCCGATTCGCCTTGTTAGTCTACAAAATGTAGAGATAGCTCTCGTAGATTGTGGTTGAACTGGTCCTGCTACCTTCTTCTGAGCTTGAAATTCATGTACTGTGAAGTTACAAGACTGGAACAAATATACGACTTCAGTCAGATGCACGAAATGAATCTCGTCTCTCATAACGAAATCTTTCTAGTCATGTTTTCAGGATGTTGAACTACATAGTTTGACGGGTGCATCTTTATCTGAATTTGTATTAGTTCTTCCAGCCAATTCAGACTGGATTATACTGGACAATGTAACGGAAGTCTAACGGATGATCTCTTTCGACTGAGATAACGTCATATTCACTCAAGCCATGCTTGATGTCATGATCTTACATTTGAAGAGCAACTAGTTCTGGTTTTGGAATGAATTTTTTTCCTTGGGGAAAAGAGAAGCAGATAATTCATCTAAGAAACACGATGGAATGTTTATTGAGGCCATCGGCACACGCACACGATACCTCTAACTCAGCTTTGAAAGGCGCACCTGAGCGGCATACCTGCGCGGCATCTTATCAGGTCTTGAATCGTCGGAAAACATGTCGAGTCAGTTGGATGAATGTCCTTCATGGACTGTGCTTCAAGCTTCGCTGTGTCTAATTTGGGGAATCTTTTGCAGCTCTCCGTCTTCCTTTCGCTGCACATTAGCCTAGTTTGCAGCGCTGGATTGCTGCTTGAAGTCAGTTCTGATAAGATAATGAAAGTGAGAATAACATACATTGAAGTGGCTTTTGTATCCATTGCGTTCTCGAAGAATTCTCTTCTTTAGTGTCTTCCGTTCACCAATGGAAGATCCAGAGCTCTCGAATCAAGGTACTCCGCACTTGCGATCTCCTCAAGCGCATCCCTTTATTTCCATGACATAAGCTTTGCATCCAATGGGCCATTGATTAATTTCAGCCAATCTAAATCTGGATCAGTCAAAATCGCTGCCCAAGCTTGCATGTCAACTTTGCGAATTTTCTCCAACTTCTCATGAAGTTTTCTCTTGAAACTTGTACCACTGAAACAGCTGCTGATAGATATATGACTCTCAAGTCTGCATTTTGTCTGCCTTCCATACGAATTTTGTTTCTTACGTTGGGCTATTTTTATGAAGTATAATTTACTCCAGAACTTTTTTGAGTCATTAGTTTACAACTCTTTAGTGCACTCGTGAATAATAGGCTCGCCTTATCTTTCATGCTGGTAGACATTGTCATGCCACCTCATGACCAGGAATGACATTATTGTAGATTATAATTCAAATTATATTAACATAGATTATAAACGCTTTCAAAACAATCATTACTGGATTTATGTGACTTCTTGTAAAGCTGGAAATTCTCTTTTCCCACTGTTTCCAAATCTTTAACTGGATTTTACCTTTACGGTTACGTCATATGTACAAACAGCGTTGGAATTTGTTTTGTCGGACAAAAAAAAATCTCCTGTCGGACCTACAAGATCTCAAGAAAGTAAGTTAGTGTCTTGCAGATAAATCAATAAAAGAGCAGAGAGAATCCGGCAAGCTAGATCGAAGATATTTCACTTGTTCCCATTCTTATGAGGTCCAGAATAGAAACTTACCACTCTATAAGTAGAGAATAGCGAAGACCCTGGACCAGATTCAGGATAAGTACTTGTGTGGGGACAATTCTGTTGCATGATGAGCAAACAAATCAGAGACTTTGGCGAGCGAGCAAAATCTCAAGCACAGCGTGGGTCCCAGAATACCAGCTTCAACCCAATCATGTCCTGTGCTGATATGTGAGACGCTCTTGTAGCATCTCACATATCAGCACAGGACATGATTGGGTTGAAGATCGAAAGATTTTGAGCTAGATTTGCCACCACCACATTGTCGTATAGATATGGAATGTACACGTATCAGGTACAAACACTCGCATTCTCGACTAAGTCTAGCAGTCGCTGGGGATTCGAAGCACTGTCTGATTTTATCAGAAGACTATCCATTTCCAAGAGAATTATCCTTGACGGCCATATTATTGTCATTACGTCACTGCCCTGCGCCATTAATCGAGCAGAATGTGATCAGAACCCACAGCTTTTACACCAGAGTCTAATAGAATTTCCTCGTTCCCGAAAAGTGCGATGAGCATAATCAGATCTACAGTGGTTATATCCAGACATTGCAGAAGGCAGGGAACAAAAAAAACTTACAATCATTGAGCTGGTTCTCGGCGGCGCCGAGATTGTCACACTAGGTCGATCCATAGACACCATTGGTGTCGAGCTTGAAGTAAGTGTTGGCAGGCCCTGTGCTTGCCCAGACCTTGATATTTGTGTACTGGTGTGTGATAGTCACGCCCGATCGTCTGTAGTACAGGAACTTGCAAAAGAAGCCCTTGGCCGACGCACCGTTGGGGCAGGTGCTAGCTTGGAACTCCTTGTCTTCACACTCACCGATGGTGTCGCTGAGCACGGTGACAATGTCATTGGAGTCCAGGCATTCGCAGCAGATGTTGATGTAGTCATCCTTTGGTAAATAGTTCATGATACTGAAGGTCTCGCTATCGGCCGCTGCAGCATAGGACGCGATCGCCAATTGCAGAAGGACGACACATATCAACAGAACTTAGGCTCTTGCCATTGGGAAGAGTAGAGCGCGAACGAAGCTAGCTTCCAACTCACAGTGTACGAACCAGCACCTCTACACGAGCATCAAATTTCCCCCAAAATTGCTTTATGAGTAGCAAATAGGCCTCTTTTACCTAGGCAGAATTTCGTAGAAGGGACGAATGCGAACGAGCCACTTCCACAATTCAATTATGGCTCTTCTTAATGATCGTGAATGCATATAGACATCTGCTGAGCTCTTCCGACCGACTAACAACCCACTCTCTTCCCTCGACAGGCATGTCGTGCATTTCATGACCTTCTTTCACGGTTTCTTCCTCGGGTTTGGCATTCGACAATCCGCAATGAGTCCTGCAGATAAGGCAACAATTACTTGAAACGACAGATGAATCCACTTGATGGAATAAGTTTTATCACCTTGTGTAGAGCGTATTTCCATTTTGGTCAACTGGTGGGATGCGCATAGAAGCGAATATGCTTTAGCAACTTGACACATTCCTCCCTTGCCACTTGTGGCGACCTTCAACATCTGAAAAAATCTTAACTCTATAGAACTAGGTCTTGCCCTATGCAAGGTCTCATTGCCATGATTTCAACACAGTTCTGCTTATTCAATAGTTCATATCCAGTGATCCAGTGGCGTGTGCATAGGGCGACAGGAGAGGACAGGAGAGGACAGGACGAGTTGGAGATTGAATTGCGCAACCACTACGATAATCATTATGGAGGTTGAGTCATCTCCCTCGATTACCGCCACCACCTGCTAAAGTGATTTCTGCAGATCATGGCTTCAACCTTCCTGGGATAGTATTGTTTCCAGATGTGGCAAGGAGTGAAGGAGTGGCTGAAGCTAATTCAGGTCACGATTTTTTTCAAAAAACATTATCCTGACTCTGACGGTA